ATTATATCGAGGATGTGATGCTGGTGGTGAACCCTTGGGAATGGTTTGGCTTGGGAAGCCGGACTCGGTGGTGTATGAGCGTGCTGCATGTGTGCCTTGGGTGCATGGAGAGTGAGGGTTATGTCGACCGAGCTGGAATAATGATGAGCCTGGGGCGAGTCTTGCCATGTGGTGCTACCTGGGCACCTGAATATGGAATATCTGTGGTGGGTAAATGGTAATTGGAGGTGGCCTTGGGTGTGAACCTGTGATGGGAGGAGCCTAGGGTGGAGGTGCTGTGGTGGCACGTAAAATGAAAACCCTGATGAAGATATTCTGGCTTGGTCAATCCCTAAGGACTTACTAGTACTCAGATTCACCGGAAATCCTTTACATCCCACTCGCCCTATATGGTGCGGGACGGTCGAACTACTTGGTAGAGCGATGCCACTACTGCTAGGCGAACGTGTGCAAGGAGGTACGGGGCGCGCGGTTTTTCCCCACACCCTTTTGACACTTCAGGAGGCCTTGTGGACCCGGCTCTTGAACATCCGGAGGGCCCCGGCTCTGTCTATGACTCACAGTATTAGCCATCCCAGACTAGACTTGGGATGTTCCAGGGCTAAGAGGTAGGGTGGCATCGTTCTAGGCTAGCAAACGACCGGAATTCTGCCTAGGAGGTTCTAGACTCCAAGGATGGCTAATTTTGTGGGCATGTAAAACCTCTGTAGAGTATATGGTTGATCGATCGATACATATGCTGACTTGTCGGCTATGGACCTTTTCTAGGTTTCGCTTAAACTAGATAGAAGATGAGTCATTCTTTCCTCCCTCTAGGGTTGGGGTATTTTCCGGTCATAAGCCTTGGGGGCTGCGGGCCGTTGAGACAAGACCGAGAGGGAGTTGGCCTGTTGACCTGAGTGTATGAGATGAGATATGGTGTGGTGGTGTGGAGATGATTTGGGATGGATGGTTGGTGGATGGATATGGATGGTGTTGTGGTGAATGCGTTAAAAATTGGATATTATTATTATATTACTAATATTATTTACTTCTCATGCGCTAAGAATGTAAACCACAACCAAATATTAGGATCGCCAGATCCCTTGTTTATCTTTTCCACTAAAGCTCATCGGTGCTGACCATGGCCTGCACACATCTGGCGGTGTGCAGATTTCCTGCTTCTTATAGATGCTGACTTTAGAAGGATTATGAGGTCTCGTGCCTACGCTTAAGTTTGGTTCGGAGATGGAATCTACGCTGCACTACGCCAACTCTGATGATGCCCGTGAAGGAGGAGCCTTCACTCGATAGTCTTCCGCTAGATTAACTCTGTAATAGGTGTGTTCCCCAGTGATGTAATATCTTGTATTCTTGTAATCTTACAATGTATAACTGTGACATCGACTGAAATATGATAATATGATGGAATCAGTTCTTGGTTTTATCATATTAAAATTCATTCTGTGAATTTTTCCTTCAAAGAAAATTGAGGATGTTTCACCACTCTCTTCCTTTCCGTAATTCTTTTTCTTCCACCAGCTAGCGTGTTCATGCGTGGCTACGGGACGATTAATTTTTTTTACTAAAAACACACGGATCGCACGATAACATAACAATATTGTTAAATTAAATACCAACGTCAAAGTAACATTTAATTCAAAAAGAAAAGTTCATAAAATTAACACAGTCACGGAGAGCGCAACGTCGTAGGCTCACAAACTCTATTATATAGATTTTTTCGTGATACGACTAAAATAATATTTTATATCGGCAAAAAGAATTCTGACGATATCCATTTTTCTTTCATGCGCCAATAAATTGATGAATAAGTTTCACTGCATCTCTATATAATCATGTACACACAGGTTAGAGTATATATGTAAATAGGTTCGTGCCTGTGTGTTGCTACGGGATAACTAAACTTTTGTACTAAAAACACACGGATTGTACGATAAGATAACAATATTGTAAAAGTATATGACCGATGTTAAAGTGACATTTAATCCAAAAAGCTAAGTTCATGAAATTTACATAGTCACAAAGAGCGTGGCGTCGCAGACTTATAAACTCTATTGTGTAGATCTTTCCGTGATGCGGCAAGATCATTTTTTATACCGACAGGAAGAGATTTTCGATATTCATTTCTTTCGTGCGTCAACAAATCCACGAATAAGTTCCACCACATCTCCATACCATCCTGTACATGGCGCTGGCAAGCGAATTAGCCACAACTTATATAATTAGTTTTATAATTAGCTCATATTTAGTCCTCTTAATTGATATCTAAAAATTCAATGTGACAGAGACTAAAGTTTAGTCCTGGGATCAAACACCCCCTAACTCTCGACTCCTGCTGGCTACTCACTTACACCACCATGCCTTTGTGTATGATGTAGGATTGAAATGCTTTGCACTGATCCATGAGGGTGTCCATAAGAGTCGAAATTTTTGATGCCACTATAATGTCTAAGCTTACCAATCAGACAGAGACAAACTTGATTGTTAACATATTTTCAACACTGTTTTCATATACTCCTCTCGTCCCAAAATAGAATTTATTCTCGCTTCCCGAGAAGTTAGTTTTTTAACTTTGACCAATTATATATAAAAAATATTAATATTTATAATACATAATTAGTATCATTACATAGACTATTGAATATATTTTTATAATAAACTTATTTGGAGATATAAATGTTGCACGTATTTTTTACAAACCTAGTCAAAGTTGAGAAAGTTTGACCTGCACGCATTCCATAACGACTTATATTTTAAGGCAGAGAAAGTATATGCTAATGGGAGTAGTCAACTAAAAGTCGTAATGAACACAACAATGCTTTCATATTATATGCTAATGGGAGCACGAAGAAACGCAGGGGAATGGACCTATAAACTAATGGTGGGAATATTCGTTTAGGAAATTACAGAAGGTTCACCAGTCTCACCATGTATAACATGCATATCTTTTATTTGGCACCACCGATGTTCTCAAGGAGCAGTCACTTTTTAATTTCAGGTCTGCATGCTGGAAATACTAAAATTAAGGGACAACCTCATTGAGTCGTCTTGCTTGATCTTTGCCAATTGTCTTGCTTGAGCTTTGCGAACAAATTATACCATTGGCAAAGACTAACACATAAAGATGTAGAAGTTGCAAGAATAAAACTAGGTAGCCTACTATGTATCCAGCCTAAATTTAATACCCTCCAAATTATGGACAATACCATATGATCCGACTTACGTAGAGATGAAAGATATCTGACCGAGCGAGAGAGGGACACCGCATGATTGTTTCCTTCCGTGCATGATTATTGTTTTCTTTTATGCATATGGCCTCAGGTGATCGATTTGTTTTCTTCAAAATAGACGGAGATCGCGGAGATGACAGTTTCTTTTTTTATCACGCGGTGCATGATTATCGTTTCCTTTCATGCATGTGGCATCAGGTGATCGATTTGGAGAGTGTTCTGCGAACTTAAAATTTACTGTTCATGTTGAAAATATTGTTCATGCTGAAATTTTGTGAGAAAAAAACACTCGAATCGAAAATTTAGCCAACCACCAAATTAGATTACGCCACCGAAAACTACTATTTCCTTCAAAATTTTGTGCAGGATACCATATTTCTATCAAGAGGTATCACATGGTCGGAAGGGGGAGCGAATAAAAAAAATTTCACCAAAAATTATTTTATTTTTGTTCTTTTTAGTTATAGGAGATTGCGAATTTAACTAATAGGATCTGCCTCCGTCGACGGTCACCGTCACACGTATTCGAATTTTACACGTTGCTTGACCCGTCCCGTCCGTCCACGCTACAGCGACGTCATCTAAGCTCTTGTTTAGTTTGGTAAATTTGGATTTTGGGGCTACTGTAGCACGTTCGTTTTTATTTAACAAATAGTGTTCAAATATGGACTAATTAGGCTTAAAACGTTCGTCTCGTAATTTCCCACCAAATTGTGCAATTAGTTTTTATTTTCGTCTATATTTAATGCTCCATGCACAGATCGTAAACATTCGATGTGACAGATACTGTAGCAACTTTTTAGACTTTGGGGTCCACCTAAACAAGACGTAACACTCTTGTAGTAGTAGTACGGTTCAGAATTACACTACCCCATCCAACGGCCACCTGCAATCCTGCATGCGCGCGCACCGCATCAGACACGGACGGTAACTAATTAAACTCATTTTATTTTAAGTTTTTAACCCCTCCTCCGCGCCGTTAATAATCGTGCAATCAAGTCGCGCTGCCCGCTCTCCTTCCTCCCTCCCATCCCATCCTTCCGCTACGATACAAAGGCTCAAGAACCCACGCACGCGCGCACCCCCACCCAACCCACGCCCCGCTACAGCGCCGGTGGGGGGCCCGCGGCTGCCGGCGACCGGACGCCGTCGCCGCCGCCGTCCTCGCCTACCCGAAATTCTCCAGCCGTGGTGCGGCCCTCGCCTCTCCTCCAGTCCTCGGCCCTTTTGTTTCCTTTTTTCCCCTGGCTCTCGTACGTGCTGCTCCTCGTCCTTCTCGAAAGCTTGATCCGGTTTCCTTGCGCGCTGCTCGCCGAGGCGTGCCGTTTTCGTTCGTTCATGGCTTCTGGCCTGGGGTTCCTCCACGCGGAATTGGGGCGAATTGGCGCGAGAGCGCATGGGATCTTGCCGTCCTGTCATGGCCCTGCGTTTGGGCAGTCTTTTTGTGGTTGTGAAAAATGCCGCCTTTTGTTCGGGACGCTTCACGGGCTTCTGTGCATTTTTAAATTCTCTTCATTCCACCTACACTCTTTTTTCCTCAGCTCGATTTGCACCCTCGTTTGTTCACGTCCATTTCAATTGCCCCTTCCATTTCCCAGCCGCTCTGTTCTTGCCTTCTTCGGATCCTTTGATTTAAGTGCTACTAGTTCTTTATCCCTCTTAACTTGTTTATCGCTCTCCTTTTTTTTTTCTCAGGCATTAGCCATGGTTTAGCGGAGGCGATTCTCGTTGCAGCTGTTTCCGGGGTGGTGGATTTTGAAGGAATAAAGAATGATCAACCTCTTTGAATTGAGCGTTGGAGCCAGCGCCAAGGTCTCCTCAAGAGATGGTATTATTACGCAACTGCCGAATCAAGTGACAATGATTTTGCTTCCAGCAGTTGCCCACATGATTAGCTATGCGATCATTCTTCAGTTAGGAAGGTACATGGGATGGCCTAATTATGGATCTTTTATCTTCTGCTCGCAGGCTCTCCAGTGAGAGGAACTCAATCGGAACGGAAGGAGTACGCCGGATCAAAGGCAGTAAGTGCCCCGATTTTTTACCGCTTATGATTTTTACCGGCCATGTGCCTGTCAGTGCTTTCTGCCAAATGTTTACTGCTTGCTGATCACAGCATGATCTATGTCGGCAGTTGACTGGCAGCACAAGGAGGAGCTCGTCGGATAGATCGGGTGGTACGCCCATGAAAATGCTGATAGCTCAGGAAATGGCAAAGGAGGGTGACGCAAATCAGAAGACCACTAATGTTGTAGCAAGGCTGATGGGGCTTGACGACAATGTGGATCTTCCTAAGCATGTAGTGCCTTCAAACAGGAGGAGTTTCCCGGATGGCCATTTATCTGCTACATTGGCAAGAGTTAACAACCAAATTTCGTTTGAGAAGCACACGAGTTCCGCTGAAGATGTCGAGTATAAGGATGTCTATGAAGTTGGGTACCAGCCACCAAGAGGTGATGAATATCCAAGAAGGAGGAGGCCGAATGAAGATCATGACAAGAGAAGGATGGATCTTGTCCGCCAGAAGTTTGTTGAAGCAAAGCGTCTTGCATCACATGATAATATCCTCCAGTCGAAGGAATTCCACGATGCTCTTGAAGTTCTGAATTCAAACAAAGACTTGTTTCTCAAATTTCTTGAAGAGCCTAACTCTCTCTTTGCAAAGCAATCTGGAGGACACAATTCCGCACCAACATCACCTCAGAGAAAGCGCATTACTGTGTTGAAGCCCTCGAAATCAGTGGAGATGAAGTGTGACAAAGCAATTAAAAGGCAGAAAAACCATGCAGTCGATGGAAACAGAATAGAAAGGAGCAACGTGCACAAGTCTGATGCTGCTCATGTGAAAGAAGATAGGCTTCCCAAACACACCAGGATAGTGGTCTTGAAACCTACCTCAGTAATTACTTCCATGGAGCAATCTGAGCAAAATTATCATGCTGATCTGGATGATTCTGAAGCACCTGGTCTATCAAGGCATTTGAGTGATGAGATAGATTGGTCAGTGCATGGAATTTGTCGACACCACACTGAATCTTTGCAGGGTTGCATACAGTCAAATATGTTCAGCGCAGATAGACCATACCATCGGTATGCTGAAGAAGAGGGCAATAGCTTGAGTGACTCAGATATTGGAACCCCAACATCACATCATTCTTGGGAGTACATCTACCGGTTTAGCAATCCTTACTTTGGCTCTTTGAGCCATGCTTCTTGCTCCCCTGAGTCACATGTAACTAGGGAGGCTAAGAAACATGCTTCTGACCGATGGGCAATTGTTCCATCCAGTGAGATAGCCCAGGAAAAGGTACCAGTGCGAAGAAGTTTGAGCACACTTGGTGAAATGCTTGCCATGCCTGATATGAAGAAAGAAGAGGTTGCTGATCAAGCATTTCCTGATGCTACTACCCACCAGTTATGTGAACCAACAGTTGGTGTGTATCATCTAATTGTGCTGTTGACAAAGGTGAGGAAGAAAGCTCCCTCAGGAAAATCTCAAGGTCAAGATCTGTTCCGGTCTCCCCAACAGCTTTTGATAGCCTGCGGTTAGATGGTGGATGTTTGGATGCTCAACATAAAGAACCTACAGTGCCAAAGGAGGTCAAACCTAAGAACGGGAAATCATCTTTGAAGGGAAAAATCACGAGTTTCTTCTCAAAACGTAAGAAAGCAGAGAAAGAGAAGGCTAACCCATCTCCCTTGGGAACCCTGAACAGTCGAGTTTCGTCAGCCAGTACTGTGGCAGTTGCTAAATCAGATGTTCCTCAGCATGTTTGTACTAATTTACAAGATGATGATGCTTTTGAAAGTTTAGAAGAACAGTTTAATCATGGACCAATTGGAGTTCTGGTTGATGAACCCGAAGCACCCTCTGTATCTAAGGTACATTTGCTTATCTGGATGCAAGTTTAGCTTTCTTCAGACTGGAATATGACTAACATTTGTTAATTTGGATGGTTCTGTTGCAGTCTCCAGCTTCCCTTGAGAAGGCACTATCATTTGAGATTCGAACTTCCCACTTCGATCAGCCCAGCCCTACATCGGTTCTTGATTTACAATTTGAGGATATCAGTGAGAAATCTCCCATTTCATCAGAAAGTGCAATTACTGCTAAACAAGGTAAAGCATCATGACAGCTCTTATGTGATAAATTTCATCCATTTCATCTGTAGCATGTTTGCTGTTGAACGTCATGATTAACCCTATTGGTATGGCCATAAGTTGCTTTATTTGTACATGAAGTAGGCTGTAGTATCAATGATATGTGCGTAATCATTATTAGCTAGGTCAATAAGTGCAATTATTCTTGCTTGCAGAACCTCTATCTAGGTCTCTTCCAATTGGATCAATTGCAAGGACCTTATCGTGGGATGATGCTTCCCAAGAGGCTCCATTGTGTTCTACGAAAGGAGATAACCATGAGCAAGAGCAGTATGAGTTCGTTGAGAAGACTCTGACATCTGCTGGCTTCTGTAATGAGAAGATCCAGGACATCTTTGTCCGGTGGCATTCACTTGACTGCCCTTTGGACCCAGCCGTGCTTGACCAGCTGCTGGAACGCAAGGTGGAGGATGCCAAGTGCAGAGAGAGACGGTCAAATCAAAGGCTTCTCATTGATTCTGTCAATGCCGCCCTACTAGACATTGGCCAAAGTAAACTTTGGGGCGCATACCCTTGCACTGCACGGCATTCTAATGCACCGGGAGTTGCTACATGTGATGTGCTAGTAACCGACGAAGCATGGAGGTTAGTAAAGAGTTGGCTCTTCGATGATGAGAATGATATTGCTGGTTTGGGAGACACTCCAGGCCTTGCAGCGGATTGGGTTGTCGGTAAGGAGATTCACGGCAAAGGGTGGCCCGAAATGCTGCGTTTGGAGGTGGATGAAATCAGCAAGGAGATATGCGAGGAAGTCCTGGGCGAGTTGGTTGGGGAGGCATTTCCAGAGCTTGCTGATGCTGGGTGCCATTGAAGCTGCTTTATTTTCCCTGCTTGTGGCGTCCACCTGTTGCTTTTATTTCCAATCTGGTGGAGTCCGGCCCTGGGGCTGATCTTCACCCTCCAGAGCTGTTCTTGTGTGTATATTACCCTCATAACTGTTCTGTATGCTGCTTAAAAATGTTCCCCACTGCCTCTCTATCTGTTACATCTCTTGAGCATTGATACATTCACAGTAATAACATTTATGAATACAGCTGCTGCATTTCAAATTTATTTTTGGCCACGTGTTCCTTTCCCTGCTATGAGGTGACAAAAGATAGATGTGTGTAAAGCTGGAGGCCTCATGCGCTGTGCTGTGCAGCCTTAGTGCTAATTGCAGGCTCCTGCCCTGGAGGATAATTACCTGCGTCTATCACTTCCAAACAAGTATGATTAGGAGAGAGGCCATGTGCCTCCTTCCTTGAAAGCTTACAACAGTCCAACCAAAGGCACCACCTTTCGCTTCCAGTGCATTTCTTTACTGATCCTCCTGTCCTCCTCTGCCTTAACCTTTGTTCAACTTGCTGCAAGCTTACAAAGCTCTGCAGTGTGGAGGTGAATTAAAAATGGGGGCTGCAGCTGCAGGTAGCACCGTAGCAAGCTCCATTGACATTCTAGGGAATAACAGACTTTCTGTTGGTGTGAGGAGAATAATTCTTTTATGGATCCAATGACTGTGCTTCTGTTGGTGTCCGCCACAGAATCCTTGCATTCTTTTATGGATCCAATGGCTAGCCTCCCAGATGTCCATAATTAGCTTTAATAAAAACGAAAGTCTTCTGAGTCACCCAAAAACCCAAAATTTTTGCACAAACAATTACAGATGCTTTTTTGCCTACATGCGGTAGCATCTTTCAGGCTATACTGTTTGTTTTGCCTTCTTCCAAAAGTGCTGTCACTCGCGTGACAGCTCGGCGCCATTGCTTGCCGCAGCGTGGTCCCACGATGTACAAGTGCTGTGATCTGTCGAGCGCTGGTCGCCGGGACGCTGCACTGCAGTACTGCACCCGGCCGGGCGCGGTCCATGAAAGATGCAGGACTTGCCCAGTTCCCTGCTGTGCTACCATTTTTTTGTGGTTTGTCGTAAACGATCGTAAATTTTCGATCGAATAGTATATTTTCTCACACAAAAGCAAGTCAGAAAATCATTTTTTACTTAAATTTACGATCGTCTAGTCAACTGAATCTTTTGGTTGCTGCAACTAACTAACGATGCCGTGCTATGACAGCGCGCTATGCGCTGGGTAAGTTCTTTGTCCCTTCCGAGCAGAATAATTGCAGCGAAGACGGTGGTTAACTGGCTTCCGGATAGCTTAAACTTTCACCTTCCCGTTTGGAGGCTTATATAATTTTGGTTTCGATGAGACAAAAAATAACAGCAGTTCTTTTCTTCTGCGTCTACTTTATGTAGTCCAGAATCTAGATGCTGAAAGAGACCAAATATTCGTCTCCAGCTTGGCATAGTTTTGTTACTGTGTGGTAATAACTGGATTAAGTATACTCTCTCTCTCTGTCTCAGGTTATGGGCTGTTTCGCTACTGATATGACTAGCAAATAATGAGCTACTGTATGCTCCTGTTCAAAAGCTTGCAAATACAGAACTGTGGGTGGTGGTTGCGCTTGCAATCGACCCATGCTACTGCCTATACTGGCGTGAAGCAATTTATGAATCACTTAATGCATGTTTCGTGCAAGCATCCTGCATGCAAAGCAAGAATGACGCCTACGTCAGGTGATTAGCTTTCTGGTTCTTACTACTCCGTACCGTGCTGCTCCAGTCCAGATGCATTGCTGGCCCGTTAATATGACGAGCTGCAGTCACCAATGGAGGGCTTCGTCCCTTGGAACTCTCAGAAAAATTAGATGGAGACGTTGCGTGAGCTGAGAACCTGCCCTGGATTCGTGGTATTCGTACATACGCAAACCATCACCGGTCCCTCCCGTTCCCGTTGCATGTCCTTCTCCGGGCTCCCGATTACAACGGCTCATTCCTCCGCTTTGTCTCGTCCTTCGTCGTCATTGCCGTTGAAGATTCCACGTCCTGTCTGTGGTCTGTCGATGTGCCGCGCCTTGGTCAGATCAGGACGCGCTCGCTGCACAGTTGTGGCATTGGTCAAAACTCAAAAGCCTAAAAATATTATTCGTTGATTTATCGTGAGAGAAAAGCACTATTTATTCACTGAAAAAATATGTCTCTTAAGACAAACAAACAGCGCCGTTGCCTTCGGTGGGTGGCTCGCAGCGACCCCATCCAACCGCCGTGCGTGCCTTTCTGGTCTGTGAAACCTAGTGGAGAATTGTTCTGTGAATAATCTACACCGCTTCGTGGATAGGGTCACTGCACTGGAGGAAAGGACCTGGTCAGGTCCATATCCTACATCATCGATCCTGACACACACACACAAAAAAAGTGTGTTCTTCTCAAGTTCATATTAGTACCTGGCTGCCTTGAATTTAGCAATGAAATGGAATCATGGCGCAACAGCCAACAGTATTATTGTAGACAACTGCACTGTATGAAATCTATAAAACTTAGCTTCAGCACTGAAACACCACCACTACGAGTCATTATTAGCACTATAATCCTCTGCTTCAGCACTCACCAGAGGTTATTATTAGCCAGAATCCGGCGGAGGGGCCACGTTGCAACAGGGCCGCCATCCGGCGGCACACCGTGGGAGGCCGCCATCCATGCGCGGCCGACAGCGGCCATCGAGCGACAAATCATGTGGGCGCCGGGCGGGCTTGAGCTCCAGGTACCGCGCCGCCCATAATGCCCGGATGACGGATATTACCGTGCATGCGGGATTTGAATACGGGCCACAGCCGACAGCGGCCATCGACATCGAAATGGTGGCCCGGAAGGCCGGAGAGGGAGCCTTGGAGCGGATCTGAACTTGAAACAAATTCGCTCGCAGATCGAAAAATATGCGTACCATTTTCGCCTCCGCCCATCGGTATCGGCAGCCTCGCGAAGCGTGGATAGGGCCACCATGCATGCGGCGGCGACTGCTGCAGCCTGCACTCCCTGCAGTGCAGTGCAATGCACGCTGCCCCCACCGGCTGGGATGGACCGGCCGGCCGGGCCGGCGCGTGATACTACGGGCAGGCACACGCATCAATTGGCTGCAGGCCAATGACGCAACGACAACGGATCAGGCGGGCCGCGGGCAGGCAATGTGGCCCAGCGGCCAGGGTGCCGCTTCCATGCAACTGTTAACGGCGTTTCTCAAAAAAAAAAAAAACTGTTAACGGCAGTTGCTCAAAAAAAAAACAACAGTTAACAGCAGGTTAAGTGGACCAGGGGAATTATACAGTGGAAATGCGTGGAAACTGGAAACCCATCTAAAAAAATGTGCACTTCAATTTGCTAGAAAAAAGATAAAATGTGGCACAGCCATAGTATCTTTATAGACCTACTTTGTCGTAAAGTTAAGATAGAAAATTGTTTTGTAAAAGTTTCACTGAAAATAACAAAATACACATACATGTATTGTATACTATAAGACATACTCCTCCATTCCAAATTATAAAACGTTTTGGTTTTTCTAGATACATTATTTTTACTATATATTAAACATATATAGTGTATATCTAAGTGTATAGTAAATGCTATGTATCTAAAAAAGCCAAAACATCTTATAATTTAAAATGGAATGAGCATATAGACAAAAAAAGTATCATATTATATGTGCCACGAATTTGAATCATGTTTTTTCTTTTTATGCATACGCAACCGTTTTTTTTTATGAATTTTGATTGTATATCTTCCATCAATCGTATCTAAGTAGAGTGGAGATGTGATAAACACGAGATGGTACCGTAACGGCAACCACTTGAGCCGAGCCGATTCTATGAGTGATGCACTGAAGCGTGCCCTGGGTCCCCAATAACTCAAATTTGTGTGGAAGCAAGTGCAATTGTTTGGTCTGTTTGATTGAGTAGAAATGATGTGGTCTTTGGTAAAAAAAATATTCTATGTTAGGTTATTTTTAGAACTACGTACTTTACTCCATCGTCACAAAATAAGTGTTGTTCACGCTTTCTAAGAAGTCAAACACTTTTAACTAATATTAATATTTATAGTCAATAATTAGTATCATTAAATAGATCGTTGAATCTATTTTTATAATAAACTTATTTGAAGATATAAATATTCCTGATATTTTCTACAAACTTAGTCAAATTTAAAAAACTTAACCAACACGATTGACATAGCAACACTTATTTTAGGACGGATGAAATACGTACTTCCGGACCATACTACAAAAGAAAGCTGGCATAAAGGTCGAAGTGGGCATGCGGTACGCTAGAGATGGCAGCTTTGGATATCTTTCACCATGCATGGATAGTTGTCGCCTAATAGATTTGTTGTCTAGACTACGTCCCGTTTATTAGTGTTGCTTTTTGAGAGCATGCTTTTAATAACTGTAATAAAGACTAATTGTGTGAATAACTTGTGCAGAGACGGGAATAAAATTCCTTTTAAAAAACAAACACACTCTAAAATAATTCCTTCATTCAAAATTATGAGAAGTCTTGACTTTTCTAGATATACAATTTTTATCATACACTTAGATGTATACTATGTCTAGATATATAATAAAATAATGTATTTAGAAAAACCAATCGTATAATTTAGAACAAGCGAGTATACTTGTAACATCAATTAGCTACCTATCAGGTTTAATTTAACTATAAGTCATACTACTAGTTAATATAGGAATTATCTGTATGAATTATAATCTTCACATGTTTACGGTTTCTTTAATACTTTTTCGGATTTGGACACAAGCAGTCTCGGTAATGTTGTGTTCTTTATGATATCCAGAAAACAAAAATGAGCCCAAATCTGATTTGGTTCTTGTCTGGCCCAGAATTCTGTTGCTCCCTAGTAGATAAGACCCACTGCACGATGTAGTACACCGGAATTCCGAAGGCCCGCAATCATCTGGTAACTTTTGCTTTTCCCTTTCACTTCGAGTACACTTCACGTTTCGCTCATCTTCTTCACCCCCCCCCCCCCTGACTCTGGCCCACCGTTGCCACAGCTCACGCCTCACGGGACAGTACGAGTTGGTGGTGCATCTCCTTGTCCTTGTCTCTCCTTGACGCCTCCTTCCCCCAGCACGATCTCGGTTTCGTCTCTCTCTACAACGGTAGCACAACCTCGCTCCCACTCCCAACCACTCCGCCACTACCGCCCCGCCCGCGCCTCCTCCCCTGCGGCCTCGGCCGCGCCGGCGACATGGCCATCCCCGTCGAGGAGGCCATCGCCGCCCTCTCCACCTTCTCGCTCGAGGTACGCACGCTCGGCCCCTCCTCGCGGTCCCCGTTCCCGGCCGGCCGCCCCGCCTCAAATTCGCACCTGATCTGCGCGTCCTCGTAACCCATAGGCGAAATGCAGCGCTTGCGCGTTTTGGTCCGGGCTTACGAGTTCATTTGCTTGCTCGTGCTCAAAGCTGGGAATGCTCGGTGAAGTGGGAATTTAGGGATTTTTGTATCAAAAATTGGCTTAGCGCAAAATCCGACTGGAACGACGAGGAGTGTCTGGTGGTTGCTCACGTGATTACGCGGGATAATTCATAATTGGCCCAACGCTGCACTCCTTTTACCGATATATGCCCAATTTTAACACCCCAGGAGGAGTGTTTTGCACTGCTGCACTTTCTTATATTTAATCATACTGTGGAAGTGTTGTGACGAGAGAATAAAAGAGAGGGCATCCACTTTTGCTAATACCCATCCGTACTCAAAATGCCAGGCACCGATGGTGTACTTTAAGTGCACTGATAGGTGAAATGTAGAAGGATGTCATAGCGATTTGCAATACCTGCCAACTATAGTGTATTAGGTGTACTCCAGTGGTTCGAATCGTGTTATAGACAAGTTTTGATTTGATGGTTCTCTGAACTGACTGAGAGGTGTTGACATTCCCACTTGTAGTCTGTGTTTGGTTCCGTGATTGGTATCCCGTGGTATGTGCCATTCATTCTTCTTCGTATCAGAATGAATGTGTTGTGTTTGCTGGACTCACTTTTCAAATTAATTAGCTATATTTCAAATTTCAGGATGAGCAACTGGATGTGCAGGGGTTAGCTGTGCTCCTGTCTAGTGAAAGATATGCGACTAACAGTCCTATTGGTATGTGACAAACATAACATTGCCTTTTATACTGTTAGTTTTAAGTACATTAGTAATTACTCTACATGGCTGTCAAGGTGATGCTATAGGCTGATGTCTAGACAGCACTTTATATTTCTTCCTTGTTATACTATCCAAGCAAAACTTCGGTACTTGAACTAATATTAAGTGTTGCCACAGTTTCTTACTGCTCTACTGTCGACTGAAATTTCTAATTTCGTGTTCAGAGTACAGCGATGTTGCTGCTTATCGTCTATCGCTAGGAGAAGATACAAAAGCAATCAACCAGCTGGTATGTAGTTCCTCATTTTCTCTGTGATTGGTTGATTGCATTGTACATCGTCTTTGCTTCAATACCCATAAACGTTTCGACCCTGTTTGGGAACCGATGTCTTTAAGAGATGTCCTTGCAGCTGCTATTGGTCTAGATGAAATATAGAGTTTTAATCAAGGCGCCTTGTTGACTCATTGTAGTCTATGCTCCTGCTGCCTACCCAAGGCGCCTCGAGGATGCCACTCACTGATAAAACCACTTCTGTTTCCATTTTGGATTGCCTCCTTCCCCTGCCAGAGGACGTAACAGTGACAAATTAATTAAATTGCACCCAAGCACACGGACATGAACTTCCTTCTATGGTAATAAATTCTTTGCGTATATGGACTCATGTGTGTTACCTAAGATCCTCCCTTGGTTTATTGCCACTTGTGAACTCTGGCTGTACCTTTTTTTGTCTTTTATGATAAAGAATTCGAAGTTCATATGGGTCTCGAAGCTAGCCTTAATTGCTGCAAATATGCTGTAAATATGGTTAGCAAGTGCATTACCGTCTTTCATGAAATATAGAACGTGGGAGTTATTTCACGTTCCTATGGGAACATAACTCTCCTTTGGAAGTTTTGAGTTCCAAATGGTCCCTATTTTGTCAGAAAAAACTTTGTGGGGACCATTTGAAGGAACAGAGGTAGAGCCTGGAAAGCATTTGTATGTTTTGATCTGTCGCCACCCAGTGCTTTACTGATTTACTCATTTCATGATCTTATTTTTAAGGTGTATGCACGTCTCTTTTTCTCTCTTTAAATCATTGTCTTGTCTGCTTCATGTAATCACGCTATTTCATGTTGCACCAAATGAGATATGATTACTTTTTTTTCCACATAAATTGCAGAATACGCTGATCCAAGAAGGAAAAGAAATGGCATCTTTGCTGTACACATACCGTAGCTGTGTAAAAGCTCTACCTCAGGTTAGCCTTTGTTAACTTCCTTTGTCCACTGATTGTTTCATTATGCCATTATACTGTTATGTAAAGAAACTTCTTGCCATGCCTATTTTCCTTCCAATCCCACAACATACCAATATGCGCATACATGCATGTCAGTATTTTTTGTAATGAGTGTAATTAAGTAAACAATGTTTTCTACCTTTTTCTGCTGCTGCTAGTCTATTATACCTTATCCCAATGCCAGTTTTCTGTCATTAGATATGTGAAGTTATTCTACTTGCATACAACTACTCTCTTTTCCCACCTTCCATGCCAATCAATCAAAATCTAGGTGACCGTTGATCAATTTAAATTTGTTGATTGAATCAAATTCTCCGATGGTGCTTGGTATGTTCGTGAAATAATATATTATAGAACCTTGAATGCAGCTGCCTGATTCAATGAAGCATAACCAAGCGGACTTGTATCTGGAAACCTATCAAGTTCTTGACTCGGAAATGAGTCGTTTACGTGAAATTCAGAGATGGCAAGCTTCTGCTGCTTCTAAGGTAGTAGCTACAGAGTGTTTGATTTCTTTGAGATACTTATCTCTTCTATAGGGTATTTCCTTTAAAAGGCACTTGTTGGAGCACATCTTGTTGAGTTTCACACCATTGTATCATCTGGTGCAGTTGGCGGCTGACATGCAGAGATTCTCTAGGCCAGAGAGACTGGTTAATGGACCCACGATCACTCATTTTTGGTTTGTTCTTTCTCCTGGTCACTGTTGCTTAGCATTTTTTTGAGACATCCTCTCAAATTGCATAGGAACATAGCTTCAAAGCTAACCTAATTCCTACATGTTCTAACTCAGTAATTGTTTGTTCTTTTCTTTTCAAGTTGAGAATGATATTTATGATTTTATCTTGATATCACTCATGTGATTCATCTCCATAAGAGATACCTCTTTTTTGCTCTGCGTTCTCGGGATGGGGTTGCTGCTCGTGTTGGGTTTCCTCTCTAACTTCCTTGGGAATAAAAGCTTTTCTTTTTCTTTGTTGTGTCGCTCATGCAGGTCTATGCTGAAGTTGCTTGACGTCCTACTGCAGCTTGATCATCTCAAGAATGCAAAAGCAAGCATACCTAATGATTTTTCGTGGTACAAGAGGTACATGGTCATGCCTTGTCTTTTAGAGCACCTATGGCAGTGACAGAAATGAGTGTAGAACTGTAGCTGCTTGTCACACCCGATTTTAAGGATAAAATGGGATGCAAAATCTTATGTGCGTCCAGAGATCAGTCACACACATAAGCCGACAAATTATAAATAGTATCAGTACAAGTGTTTATTACATCACGAATAATAAGACAGAGTCTTCACATAAATGTAGCGGAAGTATAAAGATAAATCTCTCACGGAAGCTCCATATCACAGGGACGTAAACTGGTTGACCACAAGTCTAGTAATCCTCAGGATAGTCGTCATTACCATAGCCATTTGTTACCCGTCCGGGATTTTTATCCAAATAATGAAAATAAACAAGCGTAAGTACATGTCGTACTTAACAAGTGTAACATGGGGTTCATGAGACTCAAAAGGCTCGACACAGGTTTAACAGCATTCAGCTTTTAATTGTTACAATTTTAGCATAAAAGTAGCAACAAGTTGTTTCAATCCCAAAGTAAAACACATGATCAAAGTAAACAAGAATAATGAATAGCATAAACGGATAATTCTTAGTGATCATCTATTCCATAAATGTTCCAAGGCCGCTCGTGATCGTGAGCATGGTTGATATACCAGTTTTACACTCTGCAGAGGTTGTACACTTTCATTGTGAGTCGTGATACCCATATGCTCGAGTTTATAACTCCCAAAACATTTCCAAGGTGAGCAGGCAGGCTTCACTATGAAGCCTTTCAAAGGTTTGTCTAACAAGTTAGGGCAGGTTTGTCTAACAAGTTAGGGCCGCTAGGTTTCTGTGCCCTGCGAATGTAGGGCTCCCCTTCCGACAGGCACAATGACGCGCAGCCTATACACTGACGGACAGAGGCCGCACTATATCCAACCCGAAACACACCCCTCTTGCGCCATAAAGGTAACCTCTAACAAGCTAGAAAAGGTCCTCATACTGAGCTAAAGTTAGAGCCATGTAGCCCTCACAGCTGTACTGTAAGTCCCGGATAATCACTTACAGATAAGTCCTTAGGGAGAGGAATCTAAAGCATTTAGAAAGTAGTTAAACACTCCAAGCCTCCTGTTTCTAAGTTGCTAAAAAGTCATTTTTATGTTTATTGAATATACCATTAGTCAAGTTACAAGATCATGGTTTTGTTGAGCACTAGCAAAGCTACCCAATGCATATCCCATATGAGACAAGGTATAAGTCAAATTCTAGGAAATCCTTATCAAGGTGACACATGCAACATGAATTAAATGTATTAAAGTTAATAGGAAACAAGGATAATCTCATGCTATACTTGCCTTGAACAAAGTGCTCCTGCTGATCCTGCTCGTCAAAGTAGTACCCTTGATCATCCACGAATTGCTCACCGTCTATACTCGATTATCACAGCAACATACAAGCATCCAGAAGCAATCATGCATAGCAAACAAAAGCTATAGATTAGAACAGTACACCAATCAACATAAAATCAAGATGAAAAGTTTGTAAAACGAATTTACGTCTCACTACGAACACACAGACGCAAAGATCACGAAAATCGGAGCTAAAATGAAGAAGTTATGAATTAAACAAGATTTCCTTTAATAAAATAATAGATTAAATCTAACCTCAAATTTTATAAGTTGAAAACATACCTAACATTAGTATGAACATGTAGATTATAGAATTACAAACCTAACGCAACTTGAACGGATCAAATCGGAGTTAAAACAAAGATTTTATGGCTTAAACATGATTAGTGGCAAAACTGTAAATAGATGAAAACGTATTTTGAATCTAATCCGAAGGAAACTACGCTTTCTAAAGAAGAAAACGCATTCTGGATTTGCACGTTGGACTGCGGGTTCTATAATAAAAAACCCGAGGGGTTCTTTAGAAAAATACAAGGACGGCGGGTTGAGATCTAAATAGTTGTAATGGCCTTTTTGCAAAAACGACCGGCGAAGGGGTATCGGGTGATACCGGCCATTGGATTAGATTTGAGCGGCGCGGATTGGATCGGGCGGGGAAGAGAGAGAAAGTCGGCCGTGGCCGGCGAAGTCCAGCGTAGTGGCGCCATGGCGGAATTTTCCAAAGGCTCGTCGACACGACGACTCGACCACTATCGGGCACGGAAAAGGACGGAAACAAGAGGGAAGGCATTGCGAATCCATCTAGGGATCAATTGCAACTAATAGTGAGCGAGAGCTCATGGCGGCCAGGCTATGGCGGCAGCCGAAGCTCTCTTGCGGCGAGGGAAAATCGAAACATAGGGAGAAAGAGGAATTAAAGGGTTCGACGTGAGTCGCTGAAGTCCATCTGAAGCTCATAGATGAGCTTACCTTGAAGATGGATCGTCTAATCGCCAAGCGGCGATTTAACTTCTTCTCGGCGACTTCGGATGGCGGCGCTTAGGAATACTGGGCGCTAGAACTCGTTCTAGGGCACGCAGTGGGGGTCAACACGACGCAGAGGGCGGTATTTATAGGCGATTCGGCTTGGCGGCACACGGCAAGGAGGCGTCGTACCGGTTGCGGAGTCGGAGCGGCGACGGTGGGCGTGACCGACCCGGGCACGAGCTGAGGAAGAGGATGACCCTGACACGTGGGCCCGGCGTGTCGTGACAGTGAAAAGAGAGAGCGTGGGCGATCATCGTGCGGGGGCTCTTATTGGGCTGGGCCATGAGAGAGAGAAAAGAGCGCAGGGCGACGCTGGGAAGATCTGGCCGCCCGGCTGGGCCACCATGGGAAAAGCAGGCGACACGGGGAACCAGGCCGAGCTGGACTGCTCGGGCCGAAAACAAGAGAAGGAGATAGGAAAAATAAAAATTATTTTATATTTTCTTAACACATTTTCAAATCCAATCTAAACTCAAATTCAAATTCTTTTGAAAATTTCAATCAAACCAAAGCATCTCAAATTAAATATGCAGCAGCATGTATGCATAAACATGTAGGTAAACCTTATATTTGATTTTAATTTGATAAAATTTATTATTTTTCTATGTTGCATGCACACACTATTGCATAACTAAATCCAATTCACCTATTTAAAAGTGATGCAAATTTTAGGGTGTTACACTGCTACAAAATTTTCTGACTGCCAGTTGATCACCTTGTTATTTGATAGTTGTGTATGAAGCTGACTTCCAATTTTTCATTCCTCGATATGCTGTTTCTTTTCCTTGGTGGGATTTATTTTTAGTGTCAATTAGTACAGCTGGAGTCCACATACCCTTTAGTGTGTTTCATAAACTACCATAAAAATGACATGCTCATATATCTGTGTTTTTATGCCCATAGTGTCATCTGATGTTCGTATGTAGCTGTATTGAATGTACTGTCTCAAGTTGCTATGACAATAGTCTTTGCACGTGTAAAAAATTTGCTCTCTGAATAACTAGTTTAAGTGGCGGAGAGCAACATTTGCAACTTTGAATGGACTAATTTTTTATAGATACTATAAAAGTTAAGAATTCACTAATCACTTGCAATATAATTTGGATACTCTGTACTTTCCAGTAAAGCCTAAAATGGTAAGCATCTAGTAATACATGCCATGTCACTTTTACCACTTAATAAATACTACAACTTTGCAACTTACCTATTAGTCCAGGATCATATATCAACATCCAGATACTTTTTATAGTAAATTTATTTTCTTTTGATTTATGGATTCTAGGGTATTCCCATGTTTGATTGCTAGTACATGTCCTCTTAAATGCATTGATTGATTTTTTATTATGTTTTCATGCAGAACGTTCACTCAAGTAAGCACCCAATGGCAGGATACCGACACCATGAGAGAAGAGCTGGATGATCTTCAGGTTGCTGCTTTGTCATTGCTCTTCATTACAGCTTCTTGTTATGTTGGAACTCTTAAATCCTTTCTGGTTATTTGTGCACCATTTATTCCTTTTAATTTACCAATTTCCCCACTCTGACACCACTATACAATCGAATACGATAATTTTTTTCTCGAATGAGGAAGGAGAGATGTGTGTCATTTCATTAAAGAGAGAGTACTAAATGAGTAAATGTACGATGCCACACACGCAACACACTCAAGACCCAAATACTATAGTATAACTGAAACATGTGCACCACGCTTGAACAAAGGATATGGCCAAAGTGCAAGAACACCGACCTAGGGCAGAAGCCCTGGCTGTATGCCATAGCCCCCGCCCCCCCTCTGGCGTCCACACTACCAAGTCAATTATGATAACAGGACACAAAGAGCCTTGTGCACTATTTTCCTTGCCATTTTACTTCTACAGAGTTGGGTTCCATTGTGTTAAGCTCAGCAATTACTCCATGTTTAAAATAATTACAAAATTAGTTGAGTTTATAAGAACTTGATCTACAGATATCAATTACAGGAATCGCAGGGGAATGTTTTTTTTTTCTCTTGACAGTGTAGTTGATGCTATTGTTTACCAGCATCTAATGGATTGCATGCTTGTGAAGTATCTTGATTCTTGAGTAGAATAAACACTTTTGTAAAATAGTATAAATAAGAGCACTTCAGAAATTCCGATTTTCAAAGGGATGGAAGTGGACTAATAAATTCCTCACTGAATTGTTTGACACATGCAAGTATTATCACGATAGCTAATATATATGCATTTTTAACTTGATTTCTCGCTTGCATTTGCAGATTTTTCTGAGCACCAGATGGGCCATCTTGTTAAATTTGCATGCTGAGATGTTTCGGACAAACACGTATCCCACTTTCTGTGTTTGAACATCACAATTGTTTGCTTTTTATAAGCATTCTATATGAGTTATTTCAGATGATTTTGTTGCTAGTAGTAGGAAAAAACATGCAATTTCAAAATTGATAAGTTTTGATACATTTACAACAAAGATCCTATCTCTTGTAAGTTTTCTTGCTGTGGGTGAGAGCTTAAGTAACTTTGTTTGATTGACTGAATGTATTTTTTAGAGCATGTTGAGAATTTAGCAGCCTGAACTGTGACTTGGGGCTCTTGGTGGGTTTCAACTCTAGCCTACCCCAACTTGCTTGGGACTGAAAGGCTATGTTGTTGTTGTTGTTGTTGTATGTTGAGAATTTAGCAACACAACCCTGCACTTGAATTTTTTTAGTGAAAACTCACTTATTGGAACACCTTTTAGATGTCCATAATACAAATCTGCACACCAGTATCATAGATTGTGTGCTTGTACCTGAGCTGTCTAATTAGCTGATTGTTAGTTATGTAATATTTCAGATGGCTATAAAATCTGCTTGTTGCTATGCACCTGTTATGCTAGAACAGATTAATTTTCACGGCTGTGGTTGCTTCATTTTATTTGTCAATCTGTTGTGATTTCCTTAACTTAAAACAACAGCGTTGAGGATATTCTACAGGTTCTTATAGTATTTTGTGTGGAGTCATTGGAATTGGACTTTGCTCTTCTTTTTCCTGAGCGCCATACCCTACTTCGTGTCCTCCCAGTTTTGGTTGTCCTAGCAACCTCATCAGAGAAGGAGAGTGAGTCGCTTTATAAGAGGGTGAAGATAAATCGTCTTCTCAATATTTTTAAGGTTTGATCATCTCCTTGTAGATATCCACTTAAGTCTACTTTAATTAGAATTTTTGGAGGAGTTGATGTTTATCTGATTATGCTACTTCATGTTTTTAAACCTGTTATTGCTCTTACCTATTTTTTTTACAGAATGACCCAGTGATCCCAGCATTTCCAGATCTGCATCTCTCTCCTGCTGCAATTTTGAAGGAATTGTCATCATATTTTCAAAAATTTTCCAGTCAAACTCGTCTCCTTAGTCTTCAAGCACCTCATGAAATTCAGGGTCGAGAGCTACAAGAATATCCTTTCTGCTGAGTTTTCTAAACATTTTTTCACAAATGGGTTCAAACAAATGTTGGTTTCTTACCTGGACAGAATCCCTATTATGTACAAAAAACAGATCCCCATGATTTATTCCTCATAAAGGCAAATGGAATTTCGTTAGAGCAGGAAGTGCAACCAGAATGAACTAAATTTGCATATGGTAGGTCATAGTATGCTTGAAATTCCTTAACTAAACCACTTATCAGAGGCATTACTTGATTTTGAATCACATGGGAACTATCAGAGCTGAGCATGACGACTTCTCTATACGTTTTGCCTCTGCTATGGATCAGGTAAAACATATAAATTTTTTCATTGCATCACTCTATTAATATTTTTCTAAAATAACTGTAAAATTGATATCAGTCATGAGCCATCACTGTCACTGTCCTTATGGATAATAATCAGTGTCTGAACATTGTTTCCACCATTGCTCCCAACTGGATTCTCTATCTTTAGTTTGATGAAACATATATTTGCACTATACCATACATTGAGTCATCAAAAGGAAAAGAACAACTTAAAATGGTATTTCATTTAACACTGAGATAGTAACACTTATTTGTCTTTGGTGTGCTCTTTCATGCATTGATATTGATCTTTTCTTTCAGATGATAAGATTGAAGTCATCAGATGGTGTGGATAATGACTGGTCCCGAGATATCAAAGGGAACATGTATGATATTGTTGTTGAAGGCTTCCAGCTTCTTAGTCGTTGGACTGGCAGGATTTGGGAACAATGTGCCTGGAAATTCTCTCGCCCTATTTCAGATTCACAACAAAACTCCACGACATGTTTTGACTATGAAAAGGTCTTATCCGCTTCACTGCAAGCAGTTCTCACTGTTCTACAACAAGTTCTGATTGCTTTTTGACTACTGAAGCTTTTGTTATTAGTTACATAATTCCATTTCCTTATGTTGCTGCTTGTTTAAGTGGAGATCTTTTGTAAAGAAAATAACGGTGTACTACTGTACTATAGCAGTATAGCCATTCCCTTCCCTTGTAGTCAATGCTGCTGTGAATTAGATTATGGCAGCCTACTGTTCATTTTGGACCGACCAGGCAGTGCTAATTGGGAACTAGATTCACAGTGATTAGTTTCCTAATTTATTGGGTTTGTTCCGTTGTAAATATATTCCATGTATTTTAGGTAAATTTCCTAAGTTTAGGTCTATGAATGGGTAACATTCCATTGGAATTAAGAAAGAATTCCTTCTCTTTTACTTGTTGTCTTTCAATCTCTTAGTTCTTTTATCCAAATATATGTGCCTCTTGAGGCCTCGGCAAATTTAATATTTTATGAACCTTGGGGGTTATGTACATGAATGATTTTGTCTTCAGTAAATGGCCCCCCTCATACATCTGTCACTCTTCTGCCTATAGTTTTCTTCATTACAATGTAGGCTTTGTTATTTAAACATGCATCGTTGTGGAAAAATTATGTTAGTAATCCATTAGCATTGCGAAATTCTCTTTTTTTTCCTTGATTTGTTTTTTGTGTTGTGATAAAGTATTCCTTTATAACTTCACAACTCATAGTTACAATATGAAATTTTCACCTTTTTTGTGTTCATGAATTGATGTTTATTGTTTATTTGCAATGCAGGTAGTACGCTATAACTATACTGCTGAAGAACGAAGGGCTCTGCTTGAATTAATTGGTTACATAAAGAGTATTGGATTGATGATGCAGCATTGTGATACTTTAGTGTCTGAAGCTTTGTGGGAAACAATACACATGGAGGTCCAAGATTTTGTACAGGATAAACTTGATACTATGCTTCGTACAACATTTAGAAAGAAGAAGGACCTTTCTCGGTAAATATTTCTCTCTCTTGCAACCATCCTGTTGTTTACTTTACTGTGGACATTGTATATATGCTATCCAAAGTTCCAATGGGTTCAGACATTTCTGATTCTCTGTATTATTGATTTTGTGATTGACAGTCTTTGAACTGGGTCTTGTGTAATAATGCACTCCTATTTTGAGAATGGATTTGGAAAACTAAAAAGTTTTGCTCATTTCCTTTGTATTCTTTCAGGATTCTCTCTGATATGCGAACCCTCTCAGCAGATTGGATGGCCAACACTAGTAAGGCAGACCCAGAGCAGCACTCGCTACACCAAGAAACTGAGGAAATGAGACAAAACACATTTTACCCAAGACCAGTTGCACCAACAGCTGCACAGGTTTCATTCATGTTTTTGAGTATGCAATGATCTATCAATTTAAGTTCTTAGCCCCTGCATTGCCTGACAAAGTTCGCGTTCGAACATTTCCCCCAGTGCTCATACAATACTCTTCAAGATTGTAGGAGGCTAGGTGACAATGTTTTAGGGCAAACTGCATTGTTACTTTTTTTTCTAGTATAAAATGGGAAAACTGTGCAGCTGTAGAGTCTTACCACCTGTGACCGGAAGGTCCCGGGTTCGAGTCGCGGTCTCCTCGCATTGCATAGGCGAGGGTAAGGCTTGCCACTGACACCCTTCCCCAGACTCCGCACGGTACGCCCTTTATAAAATGGGAAAACTACAGTAGGAAATCATCTAGACTTGACTCATCTTTTCTGATTATTGACTTCAGTTTTGGAAAACTCTCTTAACTGTCAAATTCAATCAATGCACATCCTTATTACACTCGCTTGAAAAGTAAATAAAAAGGTTTGTCTGCAACTTTTATTCTTTGGAACATTTCTATTTTTGGCAGGGTGGGTTTGGGGGGGCGGGGGCGGGGGGTGGGGGGTGGGGTGTTAATGTCAGAAAGTAGTTCATTTTAGCAATTAACTGGTCATAACAAACTGTAAAGTTCTCACTTTATTTATTTATGCTGGAACATTTCTTGTATTTTTGTATTTTACTTAGAATATCTTTTGTTTACTGCACTGCTGACGTAACTATTATTGTTGTACTTTTACAGATTCATTGTTTGCAATTTCTTATATGTGAGCTTGTATCTGGTGGTAATCTGAGAAAACCTGGAGGACTATTTGGGAATAGTGGCTCTGGCATACCTGTGGAAGATCTTAAACAACTAGAGACATTTTTCTACAAGCTTAGTTTTTTCTTGCATATTTTGGATTATACAGGTGCGTACTTAATCTGAGTCAATCTTAAAGATAGCAATTCACATGCACTTAAGCTTTCTGTGGTAACATTTCATGTTTTCATATTTTAATCCGGGGACATTTTCAACTAACCTTTGTTTCACTACTATGAATTTCAGAAATTCATATTTACTGTTTGTTAATCCTGTTGCTTTGGAGAGTACAATTAACTGCTACCCTTTTTTGGTGTATATGCAGCGACTATTGGTACTCTAACTGATCTTGGGTTTCTTTGGTTCAGAGAATTTTACCTTGAATCTTCTCGTGTCATTCAGGTGGAGCATTTTTGTTTTCCTCTGTGAAGTATAATGAAATTGTAGATGGGAGGAACTATTAGTGAGAATTCAGATGTAGAATTTTTTTAAGCAGCTTGTTGTAAATACTAATAGTGCAGGCTAATACTAATTTATGTCTTGGTGACAGTTTCCAATTGAATGCTCACTCCCGTGGATGCTGGTGGACCATGTCATTGAATCACAAGATGCTGGTCTTCTCGAAAGCATTTTGATTCCATTTGACCTTTACAATGACTCTGCTCAACATGCACTAACTTCTCTCAAGCAGAGATTTCTTTATGATGAAATTGAAGCTGAGGTAGGCAGTTACCGTTGTCACACTTGACTATCCATTCATGCACTTCCATTTTTTTTTACCGCAAAAGACTGTGGGGAAGATCCCCACAGTGATAGATTTTGTATTAATAAAAGGTAGAACGTACTTACAAACAGGGATTAACTAAAACATCCAGCCAAACACAAAAGGATGACCTTAGGTCATCCTTGAAACGAACAGACTGCAAGAAACATTGATTTTTAAAGTTTGCCAACCAGGCCGATGGAGTTGGATCACGCCTCTGAAAAACCTGTCATTGCGCATCTTCCACAACTCCCATGCTGCTATCAGGGCTGCCTCCGTGAAGGAAGGAACATTGTGAACCTGTCCCGCCTGTACCAATCTATCCGAAAGTTGCAGCGTGTCATTCCAGTCAAAATGGATGATTGCCCAACATTCCTTCGCGAAGGGGCAGTCGAAGAATAAGTGATCAATGGTCTCCTCTTCACCATGGTTGCACATGACATAGATGTTATCATCCTGTATGTTCAGATGTCGTCTCTGGAGCATAGACTTGGTATTCAAACGGTCCACCAGGACAAGCCACGCAAAGAATTTCACGTGTGGAGTGCATCTAGATTTCCAGATGGCTTTGAAGATTGGATGTGCTTCCATGGTACTGAAGACATGAGAGTAGAAACGCCGTGAAGTATACACATTGCCCCAGGTGGGCAGCCAGCAATCCTTGGCATGAGCATCGTATGGCAGGTTCTGTAGGTGCAGTTGCAGGACTTCATATTCCTCAAAAGCTTGCTGCGAGAGCGGGAGGAAGAAAAGTTCATCAAGGTCTGTTGCTTGCATGACCTCCAGCACTGAGGCATTCTCATTACTTGCAAAGGATGCCAACCTTGGAAACTATTGGGATAGAACGGCATCAGACCACATATCATCCCAGAAACAGACTGTCAAACCATCCCCAATCTCACACTTGGCAATGCCTCGGAAGACGATGCTGAGACGAAGAACATCCTTCCACCAGAAGGAGCCAACTTCCCTAGATGCATGGGGTACTTTGGTGGTATAATATTTGCTCCACACAAGGTGCACCCATGGGGTGTCAACTTTGTTATAGAATTTGAAGAGATGTTTGAGTAGTAGCGCATCATTTTGCAATCTGAGGTTAAGAACTCCCAGTCCCCCTTTTTGCTTGGGCTGCATAACAACTTCCCATGCAACTAAATTCCCCCCTTTCTTTTGGGCATCATTACCTCTCCAAAGGCATTGCTTTCGTGCTTTGTCGATGTTGTCAATGACCCCTTTTGGTAGCTTGATGGTACACATAGCATATGTGGTGATGGGGGTTATAGCCGAGTTAACCATTTCCAAGCGACCCGAGTAAGAAAGCCATGTGGAGCACGCAGAGAGCCTCCTCTCTATTCTGTCCATCATCGGGTGAAGTCCTCAATGTGTGGCTTGGTCATGCCCATGGGCAAACCCAAATACGTGAACGACATAGAACCAATATCACAGCCCAATGTATTTGCCAGATGGGTCATCTTCTCCTCATTGACGTTGATGGAGTACATATGTGATTTACTGTAGTTAACTTTAAGCCCGGTTGACTCCGAAAAGCTGTGCAACAAAGCCTTAAGAAAGATCAGCTGTCTAGCATCGGCTTGCAACATCATCAGTGTATCGTCAGCATACTGAACTATTGGAAAATCCCCAGTTGGTTGTGGAATTAGAACTCTGAGCAAATTCATAGCAGCAGCCTGGTTGATTAAAATCTGCAGAAGTTCAGCCGCTGTAACAAAGAGGAGGGGCGACAATGGATCGCCTTGACGGACCCCTCTCTTGCACTTGAAAATTTTTCCTGAGGACGCCATTGAGTAAGACAGCAGATGAACCTGAAGAAAAAATGGCTTGAACCCAATCCAACCATCTCTGTGGGAACCCCATGTGAGCCATAACTTGCATAATAGCTGAATGTTCCACTGTATCAAACGCTTTCTCGAAGTCTAATTTTAGGAAGATGATCTCTCTTTTCGACTGATGGCACTGGTGAATGTACTCATAACTCCATGCTAAGTAGTCTTGAATCGTGCGAGAGCGAATAAAACCAATTGATTTTGATGAACAACTCTCAAGATGACAGCCTGCAATCTCTCAGCTAGAATCTTGGTGATGACCTTGAGCGAGATGTTCATTAGGGAGATGGGGCGAAAATCATTTACTGTCTCTGGACTGTCCTTTTTAGGAACCAGGGTGATATAAGAAGTGTTGATGCATTCAAGATTAATCTGACCCGAGAAGAACTTTGAGCAAAGGGAGTAAAAATCACCTTTGATAAATTGTCAACACTTTTTTAGGAAACGGCCGTTAAAACCATCAGGGCCTGGAGCCTTGTCAGCCGGCATACGCTTCACCACCAAATCCACCTCCTCCTGCAGCAATGCCTTGGTCATTCATGATCTGCGCAATGGAATTTCTTCTATAAGAAATAGTAGCCATGCCATGGAAGAATTTTGTACACTCATCGCCCAACTTTATTCTATTGACTGTGTAACGATTCCTCCAGTAGAGATTCTTGTATCACAACCAAATTTGAAGTTGTTTCTTGACAACAACCCGTAGGTTTGCTTCTGGATTAAAAAGGCCTCTTATATCCTCCAAAGCATCTAGAAAACCAATGACTTGGTTGCAGTTGCTGATGAGCATTCTTAGATTTGATAAATGCTTGCTCCAGTCCTTCAGTCTGGCTCTTAGGGCCTTGAATTTGGAAGAGATGGTACGAGCAGCATCACTGTTAGCTGGCGTAGAGGTCCACGAGTCATATACTGTGTCTAGGAAATCATCTTGCTCTGCCCAGAAATTCTCAAAACGGAATAGATTAGCTCTAGGAATTTTTGTGCTAATCACCACCTTACATGGAATATGATCCGAAGTGATCTTTGCTAAAGGGAGGACCTCTGTGTTGGGGAAGTCCATGGTCCAGTTGGTGGACGTGAAGAACCAATCAAGTTGCTCAAGCAACGGATCGGATTGCATATTGCTCCAAGTGAATGCCCGATCCTTCAAAGGCAGCTCAACTAAACCAAGATGCCCAATCGCATCATTGAAAATAAAAGTGTCAGCAAGATTGCCACCGGGTCTATTTCGGTTATTCAGAGAGCGGTAGAAATTAAAATCTCTCAGGAAGATCCAATTCTCTGAGTCAGATATAGCATGACTACGAAACCAGCTGACAAACTCTGAGCGGGCAGGATCATTACATGGTCCATAGACTGTGGTTAGTTTCCAGGTCTCGCTGGTGTGAGTCGAAGTGAAGCTAACCGTGAGACCAAAGCTCTGTTTATCAGTGACTATGCCTGAAAAAACTGCACTGGTCCAAGGATACCCCCAGATGCTCCTACCGAGGGTACATAATCAAAATGGTCAAAACGCCGCGGTGTAAATTTTCTGATAAAGGATATATCAAAGGTTTCTTTCTTCGTTTCTTGCAAACATATTACTGAGCTAGCACTCTCTTCGATTTTATCACGTACCGCATCCCATTTCTCTGTGGCATTGATCCCACGAACATTCCAGCACAAAATAGTCCAGTTACGTGTACCCATTATGTAACAATAAAAGGGAGACGGTAGTTCCTGATATGACTAGCATAATCAGGATGGGCTGCATTTCAGATGGTATATTGATCGAGAGGATGAAGATCAACAGAGAAGTAGAAGCCAGATAAGTGAAAATGCTAAGATTGATAGTAGTGTCCAAAGAGGGAAAGATAGTAACATTAAAGCAAAGGACACACTTAAAATCTGGCCACACGACTGTAACAAGATAAAATGAGCAAACTGCCGCCCCAGGCGTTCTACAAAAGTTTACGATCATAGCACTTGGCGATAACTTAATCAGAGGATTCATCATTGGCCACCGGATTGGAAGAGAGCGCCTGCATCAGCGCTTCTTGGGATAACTCTCCAGGAGCTACTCCACAATTGATACCCCAGCCCTGCAGGATATCAATTGGTATTGGTCCAGTTTGACCCGTAGTCTCGACAAGCAGTACTGGACATGTCTTTCTCTTCTTGCATGGATTTCCAGCCAACCTGACCTCATGGAAGCCCTGTGGAATACTTCATCAGGCATGTCTTTTCTGTTGAAAATCAAGATGTTGGTGCACCTCTTCTGTGCAGCAGCAAACCTTGCTCTGTCCTCCACCAAAGTGGAGCTTGCATCACTGGACGAGGAACTACCATCCTCAACTGAAATACCCTCCAGTACACGGTCAAGGGAGATGTCTGTCCCATCACCACGTAAAAACCTCATAGAGGATCCTGACAGCTCGAGATCAAGGCGATCCTGAGGAAACTGAGGATGCTGATGGAGCACCTGACCATTGTCAGCAGCAAACATGGCAGGGTTCCATGCTGGCCACTCATCATCAGCTTCATCTACTTCCATGTTCTCCACATCTAGCTGCTGATTCTGCTGCAGACCTGGGTGTTGCTGCACCGGGCCCTGCTGGGCATGCTGACCTTGCTGAACTGGTTGGTTAGGCGAAGGGTTCGGGGATCCGCGCGAGAATCGAGGTTCAGCTCAATTTCCTTGCCTTTTGGGATTTTCGGTTTCCAAACCAGGTGGGGAGCAGTATTCGTAACAAAATTTTTGATGCAGTCAAACTTTTGTTGCCAGACCCAATTGGGCCGGGTACGTGACCGGCAATGCTTTCTAGTATGTCCCCAATTAGAGCATTTCCAGCATCGGATACGAGAGGGACAATTGGAGCTAATATGGCCCAAACTTGAGCAACGGGAGCAAAAAGGCCCAGAGAGCAGATTTGGAATTTGAAAAGAGGGCCATAGTCCTGCGCTGATTAAGGGAATCTTCCGAAACAGCCGCAGAAATCTCTCCAGGCTGCTGCATGCAAGGAGGACATTGCGTGTAATCCTCTCCAGGCTGCTGCATGCAGGGAGGACGCTGCATGCAATCAGGCCGAAGAACACGATCATGGGATCCGCCAATTTGAATTTTGGTATTCCCAAACAGAAGATTTGTGGATTCTTTGATAGGAGCAGAGAAAGCACCAAAACAAATTGACGATTGCGGAGAGTGCTTAGGAGAATGATCGACCAAATTCTTAGCAAAACTAACTCTTTTTTGAGGTTTGGAGGCCTTTACAGCTTCCCTTTTGGATCTCTTAGAGAGTACTTTTGTCCATTCTTTCTCCTGCTCTTCTTCCCAGGCACGTTTCTCACGCTCCCAATGAGGCGTGCCATTGTTCCATAGGTGGAAGTATAGATCAAAGGTAGAGGTGATCAGTCTATGAAGTCTATACACATGGAATCCGACTTGTTTGGAAAAGACCGAGAACCGAAAATGATTATTGCTCAGAAAAGTCACATGGAAATCCAAAGCACGGCCTCCCAAACAAGATTGTAAAGCCAGAGAAACTGAATCTTCCGTTAAATGAAACAAGTGACGCCGAAAGGTGACAAGAAGGAAGAACGAGCCATCAGGGGAGTGGTGAGGATGGTGTACCGGAGATTTGTAGAGCCGGCGGACCTCATCTTGGAATTGCAGCCCAAGATTAAAGTCCATCTGGAAGGCCAATTCCGATGCTGAACCCATGGCCTGCCGGAGGGGATCAGGAAATCACCGGTGGGCCTTGCCTGGATGTTGTTGCCGCAAAACCTCGAACACCTTGCAAGCAAGATCTGTAGAAGCTTCCTCCTGCCCCGAGGAGACGCCAAGGAGCTAGCTCGGGTCTTCTGGACACTAGCAAATCGGCGGACGCCAAGGCCGGAGCAGGCAGCAGCAATGTCGATGGCCACCGAGGTCGGGGTCAGGTGGCGAGGGGGGCCACGGTCCTGGCGGTGCGCGCAGGCGAGGGCCACACCAGGACGAGGCACACCTGCAGGAGCACCTGCTCGGCAGGAGGGGATTGGCCAGTGGGAGCAGGGGACCCGCGACCAACTGCCCGACGGGGAGGGGAGCAGCCAGCGGGAGTAGGAGACCAGCCGGCGGGAGCAGGGAGGGGAGCAGCCGAGCAGCTGCTCGTCAACGATGCCCAGAGTTGAAGCGGCTAGCAGCGTTGCACTCGTCAACCCCCCATGCACTTCCATTTTGGTAGGTGCCAGACATGTTCTCCCTCTTAACTGTGTTCTTCGTTATTGTAGCTTTCTTGCTGAATATATTCAACCAAATTAAATGACATTAACTCAGCTATGTAGCATCAAAACTCATTTTGGTTCATGTTTAGGCTGGCAGTGATGTTTTAAGTCCTGCATGGTTAGTCTAGTTGCATATGAATCACCATCTTGGAAGAAAGCAAGGTGGTGGTGTGGCTTGGGATTACCCATGGTCATAGAGTCAAAATTCTATCGTCATGCATTTGCAAACTTCTTACCTGTATTACTTATGCACTGCCCTGTAGGTTGATCTTTGCTTCGATCTTCTTGCTCAGAAGCTTAATGAGATCATCTTTACATATTACAAGAGCTGTGCAGCAAGGTATCAACCTTTTCGTCTGTTTCATGACTTTCATCCATTTGTATATGCAGAAAGGAGTTGTACTTCAACATTATAAAAAATGTGCCAATAATTTTGAATAAAATATCTATTGATTCTAAATGTCTCTTGTACTGATCTTCGCCGTCGTATGCAGTACTCTTCTTGATAGTTCATTTACATATGCATGCGATGATGCTGAGAAGTACTTTGTCAAACCTTTGCGATTTGATGCAATTTTCAAGTTAAGGAGAGTAATGGTAAGGACTCAGCTCATATGATTTTCTTCAGGGTATAGTTCTGTTTTTGCTATTAAACCAACCCCTTAGTTTTGTTTGATTCATTTTTATCATCTGTCATTTTTTGCACTGTCTCATTAGGTGCTTGTTGTTGTTGTTGTCATTAGGTGCTTGTTTGCTCTTTCTTTTGTCATCGTTGTCAGTTGGACTGTTAACAATCCATTTTTGACTGAATACCATCATTATCAGTTGGACTCAACTGGCAGAAGATCACTCTAAGATTATATCATTGCTGTTCACACCCATTCGACTTGTATTCTGTAAGTTGAAACTGCCCTAAACAGTGTTGGGCCAAAAAATGCCAAAAGTTAGCACAAGCAAAGAAACACATGGGAAGTGAGTGGAAAAAGTGAAGTTGATAAAAAATGATGGCAGAAGAAAAATCAGGGGTCCCCTTAGTTGCAAAAACAAAATTATCCTGATATTGATGTTGATACTTTTTCAGTATCGTTTTAATGAAGAACAAATTTGTTCTTTTATTTGAAAGAATAATATGTAGTTTTCCCAATAGTTCACTAATCTGTAAACCTAATCAGTTGATATGCTTCTCAATATATATGAAACTGCGTAGTTACATTACTCTTCTATAATTTTTTTCTTGAACATACTCTTCTATAATTTGAGTGCAAAAATAACACTTCTGCTTCTAAATGTGTGTTTCATAACGGCAATCCATGAGATTGATACCGCATATACCGTAACAACACTAGCACTGAGGGTATTCTTGTTGGATTTCATAATTTGATTTCTTGTATCATGATTATGTTGTGCATTCTTGAATTTGGACAATTGCATCCAACTTCAGCCTAAGTTTGGCCTTTTATTTACTCTTGTAGCTTTGCTGCAGCCTCAAATCTGAACCAGTAGCGAGCATTTGGTCCCTTTGTTTATTCTTTGAATCAAGGAAATACATTTGTCTGATTATAAACTCATTTTTTCCTTCTAATTCTATGAAATTAACCTTCTAGGAAGATTTATAACATGTCATCTGGTTTATTGCATTATTACTGAAGGATTTCATTTTGCATCCCAGGTTTTAGGGAGGACAATTGACCTAAGAAGCATAATTACTCAGAGAATGAACAAAATATTCAGGGAAAATATTGATTTTCTACTTGAGCGCTTTGAAAATGGAGATCTATGTGGTGTTGTGGTAAGAATGTTTTACTTTTGTTTATACAATCTAATTGCTGCTGCTGGTAAACTATTGTTTTGGAACCACTTTTTTTTTGTCTTCTCAAATTAGGAACTGCAACAACTATTGGATATTTTGGAGCTTACACACCAATCAATATCAAGATTTCTTGAATTGGATTCTTACTCTCTTATGCTTAGTGAGATGCAAGAGAATCTTTCGTTGGTTTCTTATTCAAGTCGCATCTCTTCTCAGGTTTGGGACCTTACCATGTTACACTAATGAGTTCGATTAATGCATAGTACATGCAATAATGATTTAATCTCAACTTTTGGTGGTCATGGACTCATGGTCTATAATGGTCATGGTCCAATCCCCTTGGAGAGGGGATTAACAGAACAAGCCCTGAAGAGTGCATTGCATTATGAAATGCATTTTTATGCTTATCCCTGCAAAATTTGCTGTTTCATCTAATCAAAACGATGCTATTTTTCTGGTCTATCCAGATATGGAGTGAGATGCAGACAGATTTCTTGCCGAATTTCATCTTATGTAATACCACACAGCGGTTTGTCCGATCCATAAAAGGAACTCACCACTCTTCGCATAGATCAAGTGCTTCTACTGGGAAGCCCTACTTCTATTGTGGATCACATGTAAGCATTATTTAATATTTATTTAATCTGCATGTTCGTATGACAGTTGTCAACACGTGAAACCATAGTCTTGGTAATGTAACAATCAGCACAACTTATTTCTTGGATCAAGCCTTGTACTAATGGAGTAATGGTGCTCTGGGGGATATATTCCTTGGGTCCACAAGTACTTCTATGATGCTCACTGCACAGATACATTTGATCACACATGATATAAAATCGAAACTCATGCCTGAAACTTTGTGAGTTGTATGACATGAATTCTGGTAGAGAAATATTGTTATGGACTAATGAGCAGAGACATCTCTACTCTAATTTGGAAACTGCTAAGTTTTACTTATGGCAATTCGCAAGATATTATAATATGCATCTTGGACTAAACTATGTCTTCCATTTTTACCGTGGTGTTTTACAATTTGTACCTACCAACAAAGCTATACTTCAATTGTGCTACTCCATGCTCTTGTTTTCTTTGTAGGATTTGACCATGGCATACCAGGGTCTTGCTGGGCTGTACCGTGACTTTTTTGGAGTCCCTCATATGTTTGCAGTTGTTAAACTTCTTGGTTCCAGATCATTGCCTGCAATAATCCGTGCTTTACTGGATCATATATCAAGTAAGGTGAGTAGTAAGGAGCATTGTATTGTGTTATACACCAGAAGGCATAAAATTCAAACAATATAATTCAATGGATGAACAAACTTGACATCTTTTCATCTGACAGTAAAATTGAAGGCAACACCTAGAAAACAATCAAATTTACTATGAAACTAATGGTTTTTCTTCCTTTTTAGATTACAGGTTTGGTACCGAAAATAAATGCACTGCAAGAAGCATTACCAAAATCTATTGGGCTTCTTTCATTTGATGGTGGTATAGCAGGTAACATGTTAGCTGGTGGCAATCATGGTTCTAAATCCCATTGTGAATGAGTTGTTTCTTTCTGGCTTCCCCAAATGTGGGACTAATACCCCATTACTACTACACTATCATTTGTTGCCCTGATTATTGTGCAATCAACCCTATCTACTTCTGTTCATTGTACTACAAGGGGAAAATATATGTTTACAGAAGTTCCATTTTGGACATGTATTAGGCATGATAATCTCTCCAGAACAGAGCTATCTTTGCAACGTATTTTCTTTTATTGGTGGCAATTTGGTGCACATTTTTTAGGCTATTAGCTGCGGTGTTAGGTTCTAATTTAAACTTTGGTGAAATCTGGTAAATCCATTTTAGAGTATGGACTAGCTGCAATTTCTAGTTTTGGTAAGTCACTCTCTGAGCCATCCTATACAGCATGGGCTTAGTCAGCATTGTTGTGTAGTCAAATATCTTTAAATTTCCTTTGTATCTAGTACATACACCAAAATGCAATAGTTCCATGCCAAAAGACATCTCTAAGTTCTAAGAACAGTGAAATCCTGCCTTTATTGTAGGTTGTCAGAAGATAGTTCATGAAATATTGACGTGGGAAGCGAAATCAGAAGTTAAAACTGAAGTTCTTCATGACCTTAAGGAAATTGGAAGTGCTTTGTATTGGATGAGCATTCTGGACATTGTTTTGGTAAGCATATGAACTTTGCTAATTTCTCAAATTGTTCCAATACTCTATTTTTTGTATCTTAGCAGTTTTTTTTTTTGGTACCTCAGTAAAATAGTTGAGCGTATCATTGTAGATAAGTGGCACAATTTTGCAGCAACCCTACTGAGAGCGATCAAAAGTTCCCTTGATCTGTGCACTTGAGGATGTCAAGTACAAAAGTCCGATCCACTGAAGTGGGTAGTTTTAACCTCATTGTGCCCATAGGACAGTTGAACCAAATACTTGTTTCTGACCTAGCCATGGAGATGTTAACAGTCTTCTTTCTTCTGTTTCATCATTTTCTTTTATTTCTTAATAATATATCCTATATTTATATTTCACTTTTATCTGGTTTGAGTTAAGAGGTTCATTATCCTTTGGATAAGAAAAAGGAGAGCTGCATATCATTGTATTAAGAAGAAGAAACGGGGGTTTAGAAACCCTATACAAAACACCACTCCTATGAGAACTCAAAACAGACACGCGGAACAGACTGACTTGACCAAAAACTAAGCTCCTGGGGGCGCAAGGGCGAGGAGATAAGAAACACCTCGAGCCCCAGCCAAACTCCAAAATCTCATCTCTTCTAAAGGAAGTGATGCTACATTGAGAAAAAGGTAGAAAGGTCAATATTACTTAGTTTTATTTTATAATTGTTTTTGGAGGGGGCTGGCTTGTTCCATGATAAGGAGAATAAACATTTCTCAGGGACAAGTTCATGTGTTGCTCCCTTCAGTGCTCGAACTGTTGCACATGCTGATGCTCTTTCTCCATTCTGCACTTTTATGATGTTCTGTGTAAATAACATAGGAAAAAGTCGAAATTACTGCCCCCCCCCCACAGTTTGGATAACCCCCTAAATTAACATTTGGTTAATTTGCTCCCCTCAACTATTTTAGTCGATCCAATTTACCTAAATTAACATTTGGTTCGATTTACTCCCCTAAATTAACATGTACAAGTTTGAGTTTTAATTTCAAATTTTGTGAAGTGGTAGCAGACATCATAACTTTTTTAAAAAATACATTATGCATTTTTCATCATTATGTTTCATACAAATTTGTATTTCTAGTGTTAATTTATATTTAGATGGCCTAACCTGTCAAAATAATGATAGAAATGTATGATGCATTTTTAACATAATTTATGGTGGCAGCTATCACCTCACAAAATTTGAAATTCAAAATCAACTTGGACGTGCAGAAACAAAAAAAAAATCTTCTGTAAATTGGACCCACTGAAATGTTACTACATTAGTTTAGGGGGTTATCTGGACATAAGCCAAACTTAGGGGTAGTAATTTGGACCAGGCCAATGACATATGTATTGTTGACCTTGGTTTGTTTACTTCGTGTATACTTGAGCTTCATACTTTCTGTCATGGATTTTCCCCCCTTGACTGTCACATTTTTCTGCCTTTCTCATATTGTACTATTATAATCTATTATGATGTATATGATCTTTATTTATCTTATTGACATGTATGTTTTTTCTCCAACAGAGACAAATCGACACTACACAGTTCATGCAGTCAGCTCCATGGCTAGGACTGGTTCCAGGAAATGATGGGCAAGTGAAGCATGCCTACTCTGATAATACTCCATTTACCACACTTTTAAATGCTGCCACCAATGCTGTGACATCAAGCCCTGCATGCCCAAATCCATCTACGTTTCTTGTCATGTCAAAGCAAGCTGAAGCTGCCAGTAAGTCCATATAAAACTTACTGGGCCATGTTCTCTAGTGATATTTGTGATATTTGCATGCAGATCAATTTTCTCAAGGAAAAAATGAAATTATTTATGGACTCTTGCCTTCCAGATTGTAGACTGGGCACGGAATCACTGCCTGTAATGTGGGGGGAAATGGTGTTACCTTTGATGAAACCAATTATGCTTAGTTAGGCCTTACCTGGAAATAGATAGATCCCAGCCTAACCTTGTGATAAAACTAAAATCCAAACCAACTGGATTCGAACCCCACCGCCACCATCCTGGCCCATCCAAGAGGACTTGTGATTCCTTTTCTACTTTTTATTTACACTATTATCAGTTTGCATAACACTAATGTTTTGACAGGTTTGCTGTACAAATCAAACCTCAACTCTGGTAGTGTGCTGGAGTATGCTCTTGCATTCACAAGTGCTGCCCTGGATAGACACTATAGCAAATGGAGCGCAACTCCAAAAACTGGTTTTATCGACATTACTACTTCAAAGGACTTCAATCGCATTTTTAGCGGTCTTCAGTATGTAAGTAAACTCTGTAAGATTTTATCTATTATGTCTTTTCAGCTACTTACTGTGTGTCCCATTAAAAACCTATTGTTAGAATTTCACATTCATTGTTATTCATTTGAATATAAATTGATTGATTGACAATTTGACATGATGAAAACATGCTATTTGAGTTGTTTTCTCTCACATCAAGGATTGGCCAATACTTTCTAACTGAACACCAAACAGTTAGGGAGCTGGCTGCTGGTGGGTGTTTGGACAAGAGATTTTTAGGAAACTGAATATTTTTTATTTACACATGTCTTCTTCCGTTTTGTGTTTTTTTTTCCAGCATATGATGTAGCTTGAGCGCTATTTGTGCTTTATATTTTCCAGCTAGTGAATGTTAGACTTTTAGTACTTCTTCCTTGTCCTCGAATTAACAGATCTCTCTTTCTCACCCCTCCAGAGTTACTTAGAAGATAGCATTAACAATCCTTCAAAGAAACAGGAAATGCTGGGTGATTCTGTTGCATGGGCTGGCTGTACCATCATGTACTTACTGGGACAGCAGCAGCACTTCGAGCTTTTTGATTTCTCCTATCAATTTCTCAACGTGGCAGAAGTAGAAAGTGCGACAGTTTCACACTATCAATCTTCAGAGAGGACTAAAAGTTCAAATTTCTTGCAAGTAAGATAATTTTTCATTGTACTTATTTTGAGAGCTTCTGTTTTGCTATTACTGATGGTTTAGACCTGCTACTTTTCTGTAGCTTTTAAATTTCATTTATTACGTTTTTGTTCTTTCATGAGATCATGATATAGAATCAGGGACATCCTTTGGCAAAACTAGGTGTAGTCCTAAAAGTTTCTAAAAAAAAAACTGATGTAGGGAGAACATGTAAGTGGGTTCATCTCTTTTTGTAAGGTATTGAAAAGACAAATTAATTTTATATTTGTCTTTTTTTCATATCTTCCTAATGCTGTTGTGTTTCACCTGAAAATTTTGAATGTGTGTGGAACATGCTTTTTTATGCATGGTAGTTACTCCCTGCATTCCAAATTATAGTTCACTTTGGGTTTGTCCTAAGTCAAAACTTCTCTTACTTTGACCAAGTTTATAAAAAAATACACCAACATCTACAACATCAAATTAGTTTCATTAAATGATCACATGAAATATGTTTAGATAGGTGAAAGGGTGTGTGTCCTAGTAGTCCTAGGCCCAATGTACCTCAAGTCCTAGGTTTCACTCCCATGCACCCATTGTTGGCTGTTCTTCTGATGAGTTATACGTGTAACCATCTGCATGGCCAGACATGACCACATGCATTTGTGTCCCCTGGACGCTCAGTGGCTCATCCCATCATCCTGGGCAGCCGGCCTTCGGGTTGTTTCTCAACCTATGTCTATATGTGAAGCTTCTTTTTAGTTCAATGCTGTGAGGGCGGTCTTTCCTCGGCAGGTCGAGTTTTTTAAATATGTTGAGTGCACTTGTTTTAACATCTATAACTAAGTTAATATATTTTCTAAAGCTTGGTCAAAGTAAGAGAAGTTTAACTTTTTTTTTTCGACAAGAGAAGTTTAACTTAGGACAAACCTAAAGTGAACAGTAATTTTGAATGGAGGGAGTATTTTGGAATGTGTTATGTACTTCACTCTTGTTCCACCTGAAGCTATGTAGTTTACACCTCCGGTCCAGTTTATAAGGTGCACACGTATATAAGATTCAAACTTTACAATCTTTGACTAATTTTGACCAACAATTTTTAACTACTTTAATACTAACTTGATTTGTAATCAAATGTACTATCCAATAGCCATAAGTTTATAATCACAAACAATATATATTGAATAAATAAATGGTTAAAGTGTAGCTCGAGAGACCATGCCATGTCAAATTTCGACTTGTAAACTAGACTGGAGGGAGTAGGTAAGTCGTCTTATCACATTACTACTTTATCTTCCAGGTTTTTATGCCTGGTCTGAAATAGTAACTTTATTAGATGCTTCATTTTTTTTATTTGGAAATTCATTGCTCCATGTATGATGTCTTTGGAAAGGGCTACGAGGGCATCCTTGAAGCGATGAGGAAGGCTAGGAGGCTCAATAACCATGTTTTCTCGATGTTGAGGGCACGATGTCCCCTTGAGGACAAGGTTGCATGTGCGATCAAGCCAAGTGGGGCACCGCTTCACCGGATGAAGTTTATAAGCACCGTTTCTGCATTTGAGACATTGCCACAAAGAGCCACCTAACCAGGCAGATGTGCAGAATGTACTCTTGTATGTGGGGTTATATGTTATGTTGTAAGGTACATGTAAATTATGTAGTTTTTATCATCAACGGCGAATCCTGGACTTGAATAAAAGAATGTGCTTGCTTGCTGTATATCAAAATTAGGCTCTGTTGATCTCAAGAAAAGTTCAGTTGATCTCAAGAAAAGTTGACCTGAGTTCGCGAGTTTAACTATCAATTTTGAGATTTTACCTCACTGAACCAAAAATTTACACAGTTGGAGAGTTGAGCCAAAAGAATCATGCATGCTAGTTAACTGTTATTGTCAATTTGTGATATGTGTATTTCTCAATCTGCTCTCAAATATATTTAATGTATGACATCAGATTAGCTTAACAAATTGTGTTATCCGAGAGCTCACTTAGACGTGCATGTCTTTATTAACCACTCACCTATCTTGCTCAGTATCTCGTTGCAACATGCTTTACTAAATCAGTTGCGTGCATTTGACTGATGTAGGTCAGGTCATGTCAAGATTTCCCTTGCGCGAAGCTATATATCTGTAACTATGCATCCTCATCTGGATTGGCAGCCATCAGTCACAACGGCCTTTTAAGGTGCGCGATTGGTATGGATTCTCCAAATTGTTTCTCTATAGAAACATGAGAATTTCTACCAAGCAAAACTTTGTTTCTAGAGAGAAATGAAAGAATTCCTACCAAGCAGAAATTGTTTGTTGAGAGAGGGGGGTGGAGTCCCTATTAAACAGCTTCAGACTTTCCAGTCGTCCGGGCAAAGCGTCCCGGGAACGGTCACCGACAAGTGAGCTCTGGGTCAAGTCAAACTTCAGCATTCAGTGTTAAATCAAGACACTGGGATCCGCATGTGTTTCGCAGCTTTTGTGTTGAAGTGTTTCCTTCTTTGAGTCTTTGAGATGAGACCAGCTAATATTTCATATTTCAGGCTCGTTGGTTCAGGTAGACCCACTTCAGTTCCTCACGGCTCAACTGCTTCACTCTTCCTCTAGACGTCCTTGGTCAGAACACACGACACAACTACTGCACTCATTCATTCATTCCTTGAGATGCATACTTGCATGCAAACATTCTTCAATGTACCATATAAAACCCTTGTCTCGCCAATCGTTTAACCACCCAGAACCAGAAACACAAAGAAAATATACGCAGCTGATCGAGCTCCAGAAACGAGCACACCCAACCAACCAAAACCCAAGATGTCGAGCTTCTTCCCATTTCCAGCCGTTCTTCTCATCGTCACGCTCCACGCCTCCGCCATCCATGCGCAGATACCTGCCTCGGCAACGACCGGCGCCGCGGTGGCCGCGACAAACCCGCAACCAGGAGGCAGTGGCGGCGGCGCAGTAGGCGCGGGAGGGCCGGACGCGCCTCTGGAGCTTTACATGCACGACATCCTGGGCGGGTCGAGCCCGACGGCGCGTCCCATCACCGGCTTGCTGGGCAATATCTACAACGGCCAGGTCCCGTTCGCGCGCCCAATCGGCTTCCGCGCGCCCAGGAACGGCGTGGCGATCCCCAACGCCAACGGGCAGGTGCCCACGTACAACGGCAACACCGGCATCCCGCTGGACACCGGCCTGTCCGGCGCCGGGTTCCTGCAGCCAGGGAACGGCGCCGGAGGCGCGGCGGCGGCGCCGGCGCAGGTGCAGCTGGGTCCCGACGGCCTCAGCCTCGGGTTCGGCACCATCACGGTCATCGACGACGTGCTGACGGGCGGGCCCGACCTCGGCGCGCAGCCGCTCGGGCGCGCGCAGGGCGTGTACGTGGCGAGCTCCGCCGACGGGTCGTCGCAGATGATGGCGTTCACTGCCATGATGGAGGGCGGCGAGTACGGCGACACGATCAACTTCTTTGGGGTGTACAAGGTGGGCACGCCGCTGTGCCGGCTGTCCATCACCGGTGGCACCGGCAAGTTCAAGGGCGCCTGCGGTTTCGCCGAGGTGCGCCCGCTCATCGCCTCCGGTCAGCACGTCACCGACGGCGCAGAGACACTGCTGAGGATCACCGTCCACCTCGCTTAAGTAGTAACTCATCTAAAGTAGGCCAGCGCTTCTCGGCTGTCGACTGTCATGGCTGCACAGCAGTCGAACCTGTGCTGGTTGTTTCGGACGTGTTGAGGTCGTCGCCTCGTCGGTGCGTGCATGCGTGTAGTGTTTGCGTCGGGTGGATCACGATGCTGTAACTGCAAAAGTTGTATTCCCTTCGTCTGCAGGGTGTACCACCAATTGTTAAATTAATTAAAGCAGTATAAGATGTTGTGTGGTTTATACAAAAGATATATTGGAAAGAGCAAAATACACTGACGGCCTTTAACTTGTCGGCATGTACCAATCCGGTCCACGAACTTGTAAACGCGGAAAATGGGCCCCTGAACTTGTCAATTTGTTCACCGCAGGCCCATTTCCCATCCAGGCGACGTGTGGCAGCACGTGCGCCGCACGTTTCAATACCGAACGCAGGTGACAATATGCATCTAGGCCCCTCCGCATCTGCCCATCTCCAAAATCCTGTCTTCTTCAAGTTCATCGTGCTGGGGGCGAGGCGGCGGCGGGGGCGCGGCGGCTTGCGACGAAGGCAAAAGTCGGCGACTTTGCAAGATTCTGCGGAAGAGCAACGACGAGACGTACCTGGGGAGCGCAGGTTTCCACCGCGATTGTGGTGAATCTGCGGCATGGCGCCATGTGCCTGCGACCGGAAGGGGAACCACCGCCGGACTACCGCCGGACTACGGTTAGTCAATTGAAGCTCAAAACCTTCTTATTAGTGCCTTTAGGATGTGGTGGTGTGCATGTACTTGTTCCTGGTGTATGCTAATTTCATTTGTTTTGGTGGCTAGGGTTTAGGGTTTCTGGTGTCACCTAAATAAATCAAGTAGTAATGAGCATCATTTGGTTCAATGTAGGCGATGCTGAGAACAAGTTTACTGTTGAGGTGCACCACTGTGGTTTCTTTGTTGGTCAGGAATGATGGAAAAGTGAACTGGTTTGACCATTGCGAGGTAGATACCTGGTCTCCATTGTGGTTCTTGGATTTTGTTGATGAGTTGAAATGTCATAAAATAGATGCTCTGAAGATATACTGGTTGCTTCCTGGAATGGATCTTGCTCGTGGACTTAGGGTGATTGAGTCAGATTCAGAGACATTGGTGATGACTGGCATTGTTGACAGGGTGAAGAACCTTATTGTCTATTTTGATCATGATAACAGCATGTTTGGCATAAACTGGGATGACATAGTGGCAAACCCAATGCTTCACTGCCCGAAGTAATCAACCCAGCCAAGGGATGATTTGTTGGGAAGGAAGAAGGAGAAGAACGACCACCATTTGAAATGGAGCAGGATTCAGTGCAGCAAGATTCAGTGCAGCATGATGTGCATGGAGATGATGGTGACAGTGAAGATGACTTTGAAATGGAACAGGATTCAGTGCAGCAAGATTCAGTGCAGCATGATGTGCATGGAGATGATGGTGACAGTGAAGATGACTTTGATTTCAATGATAGTGATTATGATTTAGAGGGAGATGATAATAATATTTTTGTGGATTATGTTGATAAGGATACCACAGAGGAGACTGGCAGCAAAGGGCAGCAGAAAGGTAGGAGCAAGAAGGCTATTGGTAGCAAACTAAGGGGAAAAATGTTTCATCTTTGGCTGGTTATGGAGAGGAGTCAATAGATGAATCTGAGCTAGAATTGCCAGAATCTGATGAAGAAGGATAGGGTCTAAGGTTTAAGTCATTCAGAAGTGAAGACATAGACAATCCCATCTTCAAAGTTGGCATGATATTTAAATCACTTGAGATGCTCAGGAAGGCTATCACACAATATAGCATGAAGCAAAGAGAGATCAAGATGCCCAGGAATGAAAAGAAAAGGTTGAAAGCTCATTGTGCAGATGGGTGTCTTTGGAATTTATATGCTTCAAGTGATAGCAGGACTCAGGGGTTGATGATCAAGGCTTATCATGGGCAGCACACTTGCCAAAGGAAGTGGACATTGAAGAGATGTACCTCAAGGTGGCTTGCTCATAATAGAGTCATTTCAAACTGACCAGAAGATGACACTAACTAACTTTGCAAGGACAGTCCAGAAAGAATGGAATCTGACACCCCCAAGAACTACACTTGCTAGGGCCAGGAGACTTGCTATGAAGGTGATACTTGGTGATGAAGAAGAACAGTACAATAAGTTGTGGGATTATGCACATGAATTGAGAAGAAGCAATCTAGGGAGCACTTTCTATCTTAATCTTGCTGGAAACCTATTTTCATCCTTGTGTTTTTTTTGGATGCCTGCAAGAGGGGCTTCCTAGCTGGTTGTAGACCTATAATCTACCTAGATGGTTGCCACCTTAAGACTAAGCATAAAGAGATAATGCTCACTGCAATTGGAATTGATCCAAATGACTGCATTTATCCAATTGCATTTGGAGTTGTAGAAGTTGAGTCTCTGGCTACTTGGAAGTGGTTCTTGGAAACATTGAAACAAGACCTAGACATTGAAAACACATACCCATGGACTGTCATGACTGACAAACAGAATGTACCAGCTTTTGCACATCTTCTTAACTTGCAGCTGTAGTATTCATGCTAATCTATTCTTGTCCATTTACAGGGTCTAGTACCAGCTGTTGCACAGGTTTTCCTAGAATCTGAACACAGGTTCTGTGTCAGACACCTATATTCCAATTTCCAGATGCAATTCAAAGGTGAGAACTTAAAGAACCAACTCTGGACTTGTGCTAGGTCAACCACAGTAGTTAGATGGAATGAGAACATGGAGAAGCTTAAGGTCCTTAACCAGAAAGCTTTTGAATGGCTAGAAAAGATGCCACCAAATACTTGGGTTAGGGCTTTCTTTAGCAATTTCTCCAAGTGTGATATTCTATTAAACAATAGTTGTGAGGTGTTTAATAAATACATACTAGATGCTAGAGAAATGCCTATCTTGAGCATGTTAGAGCAAGTCAAGACACAACTGATGACAAGGTATCATACAAAGGACAAGGATGTAGGGACTGTGTGGGATGGTACTATTTTCCCCAAGATAAGGAAGAAACTTCATAAGAATTCTCAGTGGATAAACACCTGTTATGCACAGCTTGCTGGTAATGGCATTTTTAGGTCAATGTGTTGGACAGACAATACACAGTGGACCTAGGCATTAGGCGGTGTGATTGCAGGAGGTGGGAGCTAACTGGTATCCCTTGCTCTCATGCTATATCTTGTTTGAGGATAGAGAGAATTCCTTCTGAGTCCATGGTTCATGAGTGCTACTCTACTGCAACCTATCTGAAAGCATATGGTCCCAAGATTTATCCTTGCAAAGATAGGAGCATGTGGCAGAAAGTTCAAGGACCAATGTACTTCCACCAGTCTATGAGAAAAAAGTTGGCAGGCCACCCAAGAACAGAAGGAAGCAACCTCATGAAGTCATGGGCAAGTTTGGTCCTAAAATGTCCAAGCATGGTATTGTCATTACTTGCTCTTATTGTGGAACAGAAGGGCATAACAAAGGTGGTTGCAAGCTGAGGAAGGCTGGGATCAGGCCTGAACTACAACCTCAAAACAAACCAAATGTGGATCATGGCCAAGAAGGAGGATTAGCGGAAGGTTTTGAAGAACCAGTTACTAGCCAAGTAAGTGAAACTCATTTAACATGTCAATTGGATTAATAGTTCATACACTCTGAAGCATGGCATTGTAGGCTTCCATGCAGTTTGGAGAGGGGAGCCAGCCAGTGCTATCAAATATGATAGAAACTGTCCTTTCTCAATTGCATGCAGATGTAAGTGCACATAAACTTCGTCCACTCTATCAAATTGAACTTGTAAACACCTAACTTGATTCCATGCAGTCCTCACAAACAAGCAAAAGACAACTTCACAAGAAACCATTGCTAGATTCCACATTTATCAGGAGGAACCAGCCTACTACGAGGCCAGTGCCCCCTACCACTGTAAGCAAGGCTGCAAGAGGAAGATTGAAGTGCAATGCGCCGAGTGGCCCATGTAATCAGCAAGGCAAGACCAAGAAGAATACAACTACCAAAACAAGAAGGCTTGAAGACCTGTGAATCTGGTCTGTGATGCTTTTGTATAGGTCAATAGGCTCACTGTGCCAGTTTCTGTGAACCTATAAAGCAGCAGCAAAAACATCTTAGTTGATGCTTTAGGCTTATTTTGCTTCCTTTTGGTTCTTTCAGCCAGACAGGGAAGATAGATACATCTTTTGGTTCTTCCATATAAGCACAGGAAGATAGTACTTAGTGCCTTACATCTATGACAATGACATGTGTGTCTCAATGTCCTTGGTAAATGGTTGATGGACACAAAATCTGTGACAATACATCATCCTAATATGGTTCCATCTTGAGGAATTGACATTGCAAGATCTATGAACATCATCTTGTTGTTATTCATTGATGGTTTCATACATGGCTTGATAACATTACTGAACATATGCATTGATAACATAATGTTGCTCAAAACCAACATGATTGCTGAATCCAACATTATTGAATACACAAAACCAACATGAATCCTTGTGACAGCCTTCAGCAACACAAAAGCAACAATACTGATTACACATTTACCCACTTCACCAACAGGACTAACAGAACACGAATGAGCACAAACAGTAGAGCAACACATACTACAAATATAGCCTTCAGCACCATGACTACTTCTTTCACCATTTCAACAGATACAGCTTCCCTCTTCACCCAATCATTGTTGCATACTCCTCCATCAATGTTCATCTTCAAATCAGGGGATTCCACCATGGCTGTGCCTGCATTGCTGGGACTTGCTTGAGCACCAGCAGTGTTCTTGCCGAACACCACCTCCAAGTACTCCTTCTCCCACTTCCAGAAAGGGCAACCGGTTCCATCTCGCTACAAAAATCCCTAATATCAGCTTCGAATCTAGCAAGAATAAGAACTTCATCTTAATTGAACCACTAACCTTGTAGAACGGGCAGCAGTAGAACGCCTGCCCAAAGCTCCATTCCTGCTTTGATACCCGGCGCACCACCCTTGCCGGCCCGCACTCCCTGCACTGGATCAGCGGTATATCGGCTGGATCTACCGTAGACGCCCTTGATTCGCTAGCCATGGTGCCTCCGTCGCAAGCCGCCGCGCCCCCACCACCGCCTCGCCCCCTGGCATGATGAACTTGAAGAAGACAGGATTTTGGAGATGGGCAGATGCGGAGGGGCCTAGATGCATATTGTCACCTGCGTTCGGTATTCAAACGTGCGGCGCACGTGCTGCCACGTCGCCTGGAGGCCACGCCGGATGGGAAATGGGCCTGCGGTGAACAAATTGACAAGTTCAGAGGCCCATTTTCCGCGTTTGCAAGTTCATGGACCGGACTGGCACAGGCCGACAAGTTAAAAGGCCGTCAATGTATTTCACTCTATCGGAAATATTGTGCTACTACCGTGGGTAGCTACGCACCCGGTGGATGCCTATATATATGGGGACTTGCTAGCGTCTGTTCGGACGCTGCCTGCATAGAGAGCGAACGAGCGTCTAGCGCGTCATGCTTGCGAGGGAGCGCACTAGTAGTGGTCTCGTGCCGTCCTAGACATCATTCGCGCCACTGGTCGCTTCCCACGCGCATTCCATGTGCAACATCTGATCTACCTTTAAAATATCCTGATGTAATTGTTACAACATACAAAAGAAGACAAATAAAACACTTGAAACAAGAAACACTTATAAAAATGCCTAAAAAATATTTGAAAACAATTGCAAACATATACAACATCCACATGAAACACTTGCAAAACACTTTGAAACATATGCTTGCAATATGCATGTATATGCAACATCTAGATCTACTTTTGCAACATCCAGACAAAACACTTGCAACATTCGTCTGGAACAGATGAAAATATTTGGAACATACACTTGAAATATACGTGTATAGCCATTATAACATGTGCAACATCTCGATCCATTTTTACAACATCGATATACAACACTTGCAACATACCTCGAAAACATATGAAACATTTGAAACATACTATTGCAACATGTGCTTTCATCGTAGCATCTTCTTGCTGGCTTGGACAAGCTCGTCAACGCGGAGCAAGACGCCGGCTTGAAGCTCGAAGTCGCGGAGCGTCGCAAAGGTCACCAGTGTAGAGCTCGTCAGCGACACGGACCTCGGCGGGGCAGGGACAGGCGGATGGAGCACGACCACGACGGGAGGCGTGAGTCCGGGAGCGAGCTAGTGAGCGCCTAGTGCGTCGGGCTCGCCATGCGTGGCGCGGGCAGGCGGCAGGGGCGCGAACGGGGCGGCGTGGGCGAGTGCGGGATCCGTCCGTCCGGACGGACGCCCTATAAGGAGTGTTATATATCGCGGACTTGCTAGCGCACGGACGTCCGATCCAAGCGTTAGCGTTCGGACACTGCCTATACAGGGAGCGAACAAGCGCCTAGCGTGTCGGGTTCCCGAGCGAATGAGTGCATAGCGCGTCAGGCTCGCGAGGGAGCGTAGCAGCAGTGGTCCCGCGACGCCAGCGTCATATATCGCGAAAACCAGTGAACGTTTGGATTCTCACATCCATTTTCTTGCATTTTTGCCCCCACAAGCCACAAGGCCACCGCCCGGGCGGCCACAAGTCCTCAGGCCGACGTTGCGACGAGCCTCTCGCCACAAGTCCTCAGGCCGGCGCGGAGATGACCTGAGAACCTGTACTGTTGCTCACAATCTGATGACTGGAGTTTACCATGTGAGAAAGCAGCTGTGTTATGATCGTGAACTGTACTAGAATAAACGCTGTTTTGCACTTTGGCCTAGATGCTCTGATGCTTGCTGCATTTGTGTAATCAAAATCATGCGGGAGGCCAAAGGAAAACTGACCCCCGTTTCCTGAGCAGTTAAATAAAGGAGCAGTAAACAAGCTGTTGTTTTTCAATCGCATTTACAACTGGGGGTTCACTTTTACAGCGCGGCTACGAATGCTATCTGAAGCCTGCACGCTTACCGTACACCATATCAGATTTCGTCGGATAAACTAGCAAATTGGGAAACTGCATCCTCAAGGCGAGACAAGTGTGCAGCAAACCTATCCCTCAGCTCAGCAAAGTCCGCTTCATCAAAGGCGCCTCGCATGACCTTGAGACCGTTCTGCAGCATCGCCATCCCTTCACAGATCCCATCTGGCATCTTCCTCTTCTTCGTGCTGGCATTCTCAGGCTCAGAGACGACTGGAATTTCACAATAAGCTTCAACCAGCTTCTTCAGCACTCTACCCTCTGAAACCAGGAGCCGAATTTGCTCTTCAGACCATTTATCGGTGTGCAAGGCGACCTCTTTCTGAAGATAAGCTCTCAACTCCAGCATGAATCCGTTTTCATCTATGCTAGTCCCTGTGCTTGCATTGTACGAAAGGGCGGCATCTCCAGGAACAGATCTCCAGAGCTGTGTAAAGGATGTGCGGGCGGCGAAGTATCCAAAGGAATCCATTGCAAGGTGAATGAGTGCCCAGTGCCGTTCCTTCAGCAGGAGATGATACAGATCACATATTGCAGAATAAAGTTCGTTAGCATCATCTTCGGTAACGTTCAAGTGACCGAGAGTTGACATAAAGGAAGCCATCGACGGTTTGCACTGAGACAGCACTGCATTTGATTTATCAGAAGTGGACAAGAACAGAGTGCGCAACTGCAGAGTCAACTGCTCCATCTCACTGAATGCGCAAAGATGCCTCGTGTTTGAGATAATAACCAACATAGAACTAATGTGCTTGGCAAGGTTATCCTTACTGCTATCTGGTGCAGTTCTATACATCTTTATGAGAGAGATGGTGAACTTAAACATAGCAGTGATGCTCTTCTCATCTACAATACTATCATCCTTTCTTACGCTGCCAAAAAAAAGTACCGAGTGTATTAGACAGCCATCATCATCAGAGTGAATAATACTGGTAGTTAGAGAATAGACTTACCAATGCTGCAATGTAGAGGCTAGAGCATGTACAGGAAGTCCTATCACACCCAAGCTAGAAGTTGGCACATTGATTACTCGATGATTCTTGGAGTAGCTCTCCAGATAGCCAGCAAAAGAGGTAAACATTTTCTTCACAGCAAGTTCCTTTGTACCATCAGACAATGAATCCAAAGGAAATCCTTCCATCAGCAATGCCAAGTGTAAGATTGAAGACTTGGAAGAGTTTTCACCATTCAGCACACTAGTATATATTTGATCAACAGTTGCAGAAGATGCATAGCTCAAGATGATGCACAATGAACGTGCAACTTTCCGCAAAGCACTGAGAGGTGCAAAAACATCCTCTGATGATGTGACAGTCTTTAATAGAAGGAAGACTTGATTAATTAAATTAACTGAAGTCTCAGTTTCAGCATGACGCATGTAGAAACACCATAGCTCTGTAATAATTTCCAAGCAAAGGAAATGGTGATGGAAAATGTTTTCAAGTAAGAAAGCCTCCAACTCATTCCAAGCAGCACTTGAAGCAACAGTAGAAATCATAAAAGTCTTCAATGCTTGTATGATAGAAGTATACACAGGCTGCCAAACAACTGCTGGAGAATGGTCTGTGCCATTGAAGATAGGGATTTGGAAGCCAAGGACATAGGAGTAGATGTCTTCTGATGTCAAGATATTAAGAAGAGTCTGCAGCTTTTTAGATAATGCAATGACAACCACTTCTGTCAACCATGGGGAAGCATTGAGAAAATGCAAAAACACAAGCAACTCAGCAGGTAAAAGTGCTCTATTTCTATGATCAACATCTGAATTCGTAGAGAAAATGCAATCCAATGAGGCCAAATTTATCTCTCTCTGATTAGCCTGTCCCATGTGATCTGGACTCTTAGCCTCTTCATTTTCAAAAAAATAATGTGCAAGCTGGCATTTGGATTCTGGTGTTAAGTCAGATGACTTCATAAGTGTATCTAGTAAAACAAATAAAGTAGGCTCCAGCAATTCAACAAGTGCCTCATTTGCTGCTTTCAACTGTGGCTTCTTGCTAAATAAAATGCTTGAGGATGTGATCACCAGTGCACAATTTATTATGTTTTTGTATATAGTCATTGCTTCAGATGGATATGTTGAACAAATCCTTACAGCATTTATTAAGAAAAACTTGATTGGTAGGAATGCCCTTCTGGCTTCAGTGGCACCAAGGGTTTCTAGTAACGGCGTGCACCATGTTTCAGCAGCAACTCTTAGAGATTCTACGGACAGAGATAGAAGGGTTACAATGATTTCTCTGACATTTACTTTTCCTTCAATCATCCCTTTACCGCTCTGCAGTAAGGAGACTACACCCTTCCATGATGCATTCAGCAAAGTCACCTGGCTTCCACCACTGGATGCTGCATAGGTTCCCAATCTATACATGGTCTGAATAGTGGATGATGTAATCCTGGTGACATCACTAGCAAGACCCTGGTGGTTGTGTTTCACAGTAGCATCTTCATCGGTTATACTCATTGTGCAGTTGTCTACTTTTGCGGCCTCAGAGTATGCCCGACACAGCTTAGTTATTTCATCTAGAAAAACAGGTGCAGCCTTAGCGATGTCCGGAGCAGCTCCATGAATTTTCTGTGATCATATATCCATCAGAGAGATTATACAATGACATCATTTTTGCAGGACTAATATTGCACGAGTTTGAAAAGAACACCACTACCTCATATTGATATGATCAGAGTATGCTGATAAAATATATGAAGACACAAGTCTAGGATGCTCGTTTTAATGATGAATTTCCAATATTTCTTATAGCATCCCATTTGAAATTGATAAAAGATATGCAAGTAATCTGAATATGAGCATAATATGAGAGGTAACAAATTTAATTTAATAAGCAGCGTGTCAATTTCTATAACTTTCCGTTTGATTTAACATTTAAACTACTTTCAGGAATGCGATAATAGCTATGAAAAGGTAACACATAATTACCTAATAAAATAAGGTTAAGCAAAGTCTGACTGAAATTATACACATATATGCAGCTAAGGAACTGATTAGCAAAAGGAATTAAAATGAATTATTTCTCAGTAAATTTATCTTTGACTTATACAGGATATATTGCCACTGGCTTTGCCAGATGAACAAGCTAATTCTAACACTGTACAAGATAAAAGTTTACCTTGTCGTTGTCAACTATTGAGCTTTCCATAAGACTTAGCAACTCTGAGATAAAATCACCAATATTATGCACCATATCTACAGTAACAAATTTTGTCGCAGAAGGGAGGATCTTGATTGAGATATTTAGGGCCATTGAAATTATCTAGAACCAAGAAACTGCATTTCTATTAGATCTCTCTTCAGATAATCACTACCACTCTACCAGAAATGGATAAAAGATGTAACAGAATTCCATATGTTGTAACAAGAAGTATAAGTGGAGAAATTTGCCAAATTATTGCTCTAATATACTATTAACTTCCTTTTTTTTTTTGCTTATAAACACTAATTTTACCATAAAAATATCCTGTCCACGTATTCTGTTTTAACTAAATCCATGTCATAACTCATTTTTTCTGTCAGTAAATTATGTAATTCGTACTGCACAACCACAGTACAGAACATGACATTTGCTAATTGCAAGGTTCTACCATCTGCTGTCCATATAGTGATTTTCTCTGTGACTCTCAGGGAGTCAGGGATAAAGAATCACAAACAATACAGGATATCAGTATAATATAAGATTTTACTTTGTCATAAAACATGTGTGGATCTGTGGTCTGCTCTAGGCTATAAGGTCACAATCAGGTAGAGAAAAAGGGCAGCGGAGGATACATCATTTTTTATTTGTGATAGTCCATCCATAATTAACACAAACTATTTCAGGTAGAGAAAAAGGTTCATAATTTCCAATGACCTCTGGGAGTATTCTGGAGTGTTCTTCCTGTTGGACCTCTTCAGAATCATCAAAAGATTCGACGGACGATAGGAGATGCTTTCCACACCATGAGCTCGCCTATTATAGATACACCAGCAATTAATTTGCTTTCATTGGTTGAGCAAGATCGCCCACTACAGCTGGCAAACAACTTCCAAAAGAAGTTGACAAGGTCCCTAACAAATTCTATTTCGAAATGCGAGAATTACCTTTGCACCAAGAGCAAGAAAGTGCCCCAGACAAGCAGCTGTATCTGTACATGAGCATTTCAGAGCAACCTGCAAAATTGACTTGTGTAGCATGCAGTGCGATAGACCTGAACATCCAGAATCATCCCAAGATACCTAAAATGCCGTTAAGGTGATACACCGAAGCAGAATAACAGCAAATATTCAAAGCATCAGATAGGTCAAATCGAATTAGCAGCAGCTTCCAGCTGGTGAGACCTACCATCTAGTGTATATTCCTAAAAATACAGGGATGGATTTTTTTTTTTTTTTTTGGCGAGGATGGTAAAGGGATGAATACTAAACAATAAATGAAGGAGGGACAAGGATACAATAAGACTGTCAAGTATTGGACTCAGATCATCTGCAGAATACACAAAGGAACTCTCAACTCGGTTGATAAGGCCAATTCTATCTTCCAGCACCTGTTACAAATCAGTGTAAAGTTAGCACGCTACATTTGACTTCATGGCAGGAGCATGATATTAACATCCAATCGCGGTTTCAGAAATAGAATCGAATAGAAATGCAATGAGCGGGAACTCCCAAAGCAAATGGGAATGATCAATATGAATCGCTGATTTTAGCCCCAGAACGATCGGACACAAGACCTCCAATACAAATCGGGGGAAGCTTACCAATAAGCTCGGGAAACAGTAAACCTCACTCACACAAACCCCATTGCTAACGTCTACTGATTAGCAAGCCAACTAACCCCCGAATCTCACGAGCACGTACCCAGCCAGAGCACAGCAGCGAATACATGGCGCCCTGAACCAAATCAAACCCTAGGGTACGGAGAGGGGAAGAACGAACTTGCACGGAACGGGACCGCGAAATCGACGCCTAGACGAGGCGCGAGGGATACGACGGCGCACCTCAGAGGATTTGATCGCCTCTAGGAGGGACTCCAGGTCGCCGCCGACCTCCATTGCTCGCTCGCAGTCGCGCTGGCGGCTGGCCGCCTGGCCCCGGGGCGGCGCGGTGCTGGTTTTTGCCGCTTCCCGCCTCTTCCCTTGGCGTTCCGCGCTCCGAGCTTCACTGAACGAGACGCGCTCTCCGTTGGGCTTGGAGTTGTGGTAGGGGCGAACAGGGCCGTGGGCTTGGCGTTGTGGTGGGGGCGGACACGCCCATGGGCTTGGCGTTCGTCTGTACTGAATATTGGGGGTCTCTTAGTCTGGATAATTGTGTTCTTGCCTTTATCCAGTATTTCAATTATGATTTTGCCTTTATTTTTTTTAACTTTGTGTTTTTGTCCTTGTTATTTTGAACTGAACTGTCCGTCTGCCCCTGCTTTGGATGTCCGTCAGATGCCCATTGAATAGATGAATTAAAAAAATCCAAACCTGAAAAGAAAAGTCCAAATGCCCATACCGCCCCTTATCCCTTTCTGGTTGTTTCTCGACTCCACAAGACACCGACCGCATCGGAGAGGGAGGAAGCGGGCAGCGCGGTTCCAGGCGGTGGAGCGTGCGGCGTGGGTGCGGTGGCTCGGCGCGCGTTATCGGATCGTCGTGGCGGGCGAGCAAAGCGGCATCGGGCGACGATGGCGCGAGCGGGCCGGGCATAGGGCGGCGGAGGGCATCGGGGCAAAGGAGCGGGCGGCTCCGTGCCTCGGACGCTGCTCCCGCGACGCCGCCATGGGTCTCCATGCCTTCCTGTCTGCGACTCCGACGGGTGAGCGACCGCACCCGCCTTGAATTGAATCCTTCCTTATTCGTGCTCCCCTTGCTTCCGACGAAATCTCGATTCGTATTCTTCCGGTCTTTGAATCGCCGCTCTGCGCTACGTGGCTAGTTGATCTCGCTTCGCTCCCGTGTGTCCGGTTTCATGTGGTATCGTCTCGATTTTGCTCGATTGCGTTCTCGTTCTTTGGTTTTTCGATCCAAGGTGGCCTAGCTCCACTATGCTTAATAATCTGCTCACGTCAGAGATTTGCTCGTTGCCGCAGGTGCGAGCATTACCAGCAAAGATCAAACAAGTGCATGTTTGATGTTCCAATTGTTGTTGTCAGCTTAAACTTTTTCACTAGTCCTTCCTTAGCTATATTCATATTTCCCTCACTTAATTGGAGCTCATTGTAAATGTCTTCATTATCACCTTGCGCTGTGAAATCCTATAAAATAGTTGCAATTGAGGAAAAGTGTTTATAATATATGATGGTGCAAACATTATGAACACAAGCGAAATGTGTTTTCTGTTGTCAACTGCCTCTAAGAATGATACTTTGTCCTTGTTGTGCTTATCTGGACATAAACTGTCAAGAAAATCTTTGTAACCCCCCGTCCAATGGCGGATTGGCAGTTATGTGATCCTCAATGTAGTGTTGTCAACAACCTCAATGATTTCAGTGACGGTATACGTGGAACCAACTACCTTTGCATTGATTGTCTTCTCTATAGAACCCTATAAAATTGGGCGTAGAAAGTTTGCTTTAGTACAACCAATAATTCTAGAGTAGTATAGGCATAACTATTACATTTGTCACCTGAAAGGTCGGTAGTTTGGCTCTGTACTTTTGTTAGTCTTAGATATTGATTGTGTTCATTTTGGTGCGAGATAGCCGCGTGGCTCAGTTCTGCTACATGGATGGCGCCGACGACGGCTTAACGCACGGGATCTATCAAATCGACCAACATGGAAGAGCAAAGGTGGTTTCAGCAAACCCTAACCATTATCTACTGTTGGGTTTTTTTTTGCCAGGGTGAGTGCATTGTTGATGGTTTGAGTTGGATAAAGTAACTGCATACTACTTCTGTGGTTTGTAGGCCAAATCACAGGGGTATACGAGTTGTAGTTAGAATTCGATCTTTTTTAGCTTGCCAGACAATGCTCCAAAGTCATGGCAGCAGGGTAAAACTTTGCCAACTAAAGTTGTTGATGACATACATAGCTTTGGGCTGCTGCAGTTGGTTGATTTCGTAGCTGAGCATTGCATATGGGGGTCTAAGCAATATATAACCTTATGGCGTGATTTGGAAAATGATTCATTTGAGATAAAAATTGATGAGCATCTTTTAGAGTGGTTTGTACTCAATGTAGACAAGGGGGTAGCTTGCATCAATGCCCAGATAAATGATTTTGAAGGGCCACTGCAGTTTTCACCAACCAAACATAGGTGTCATCCTAATGTGAGGAGTAGAATACACCTAATTGAGAGGAGCACAAATGAGGGAGCCACCACAAATGAGGGAGCAACAAATGATGATGATGATGATGATGATGAGAGATGGTAGGAGATGATGATGAGGGGGTATGAGATGAGGAGGAGGTTGGAGATGATGATAAGGGCATATTCTCTGACAGCAGCTATGACACTGATGTAGGTGCATCTTCCGACTCTGATGATGATTGCTCTGATCCAGAGTTTGATCCTGATGGTGAAATACTTGGTGATGTAGATGAGTATGATGCTCCCATGTTTTCATATGATCCTGATGATCCATGCATTGATGTAAATGTGGTGTTTCCAGATGTTGATCAGTGCAAGTCTGCAGTTACACATCACGCTATCTTGCATGACCATGCTTTTAAGATTATCAAAAAAGATCAAGAAAGATTCAGAGCCATATGCAAGAGAGCTGATAAGGGTTGTAAGTGGACTTTTTCGCGTCTACAAGCAAGAAGTACGTTGGATGCAAGGTAATTTGGTCCTCTTTCCATAATATAGTGTATTGACTTGAGATGTAATTTGCTAACAAAATGTTGAATTGTCATTATTATGTTGTAGGTGAAGACAAGTGGACCAAAGCACACTTGTGGTTCTTTCAACAAGTGTGGTCAGTCCATGGCCTCAAATAGATGGGTTTGTGATAGAGTTATGGACTTACTGCGGGATGACCCTAAAATGGGTCCAAAGGAATTGCAAGATGAGTTAAAGAAGAAGTACTCAGTGGATGTTCCATATGATAGAGTCTACAAAGGAAAGATGAGAGCACTTGATATCATATATGGGTAGTGGGAAAATTGTTATGACTTGATTCCTACTTATCAAGCTGAGCTTCTGAGGTCAGTGCCTGGCAGTGTGGTTGAAATGGAGACTGAGGAACACAATGGCCATGTATGTTTCATGAGATTCTTTGTTGCTCTAAAGCCATGCATTGATGGGTTTTTACAAGGATGCAGACCATACATTGCCATGGATGCAACTTGTTGACTTAGGCTACAAAATCCATAAGCCTAAATTGAGAAGGAAACATGGGAGACCTAAAAAGTCTAGGTTCAAGGCATATGATGAGGTCAGCAGTAGCAAGAAAAGAAGATTGTGTTCTGAGTGCCATGAACCAGGGCATTTAGCCAAGACTTGTCAAGGAGGTCTCGCTGCTAGTCAAAAGAGAAGGCTCAATTCTTCACAACATGGATCACAAGAGGACAACAATGACCCAATGTAAGTCATGGTTCTATTGGTGCTCACTTCTACTTGTGGCATAATTTGATAATATTGAAATCATGTTTCCTCTCTTTTTAGTGCAAGTGCTACTGGGAGGGGAAGGAGAAGGGAAAGAGGAAGAGAATCAGGAGAGGGCAGCAGTGAGCCAATGTAAGTCATAGTGTAGTTGCTACTATTGTGTAAGTAGAAGATTATAGAAAGAATCTAAATTAACATGACATCAAGTGATTTGGACTCCTCTTTGATTCTATAAACTCTGCTGGTGCAATATCCTGTAGATTTGTACTCCAAATAGCGTATAGTTGAGATAGCAGCGTAAGCGCTAGTGTTTAATAAGGCCTTCTAGCATTGAAGAGCAGTCCTTTGTAAACTTTGGCAATTTGAAATGTGCCCTTCGCTCTGTAAAGTTTGGTGGTCGCTGGTATAGAACTGAAGCAGCATGGATCAAGATGCGGGCAGTCAGACCCCAGATTAAGTACTTCTGGATTCCTTTCTCATAAGTGAAGTAATGAGCTGTGAATGCTGTAACACCCCAGGTGTTTGCCACCAGTTAAGCAATGAGTTTGAGCTCAAACATGGCATATTTAGTGATGATGAAGATGTCAAGGTCAAATCTATGGAAATGAGCCCCAACCTAAACTTGGATATTGCACCCTTGCTTTACATGTAGGCCCTTTTCAAGATATATGCTTGGCTGGTGTTATTGGAATATCTTCATGTGTCTCACATCAATACCCATCTATATTAATCTATGGAAAAGTTTCGTGAAGTTTGGAATCAAGAAGTCACATGAAATGACGAGTTATGTCCTTGCTTGAATTATTTTATAAAGTGAATGGAATTCTCGATCGTCAACCAAATCTAGCAACCATGCCTAAACGACTCTAGATGAACTCTACAACAAAAGTCATGAAAGGTTCATGTTGAGCAAGTGGCCAAAAAATGCTCCAATAGATAAAAAAGGATAATTTAAGCTTTATCGTGATGCAACTTTGACTTGGTTTGAACTGTAGCTTAGATTGTTTCCATGGCAGTGGAACCTAAATAAAAGTTGTAGTCCATGTTATGTATAACAAACTTTGTTTTTGGACCAAGAGCTAGATCAACTTGGAAATAAGTCAAACAGAGGCTCGAAGTTGGAACCTGCTGCTGATTTCAACACTTAGAATTATTCTAAGTCAGTTTCGCTAAGCAACGACGTTGGCATTCCGCGTTCTCCAAATTTTGCTAAGCAACTTGAGTTGGTCCAAAAATAAAAGTTGAAGGTTATATTATGGAGAAGAGCATATAAAAAGTTGGGCTAAGTTTGACTCCGTTTTGGTCCTCAATTTTGTGTTTTCTTAACCGCTATCAAGGCACTGACACTGTCATTTTGTGGCTTAATTACCTGCTGATGAAGAGCTCTAACGACCATACAGCCTTAATCAAGTTTGTAGAGCATCCAGAGTAGAGCAACTTTGCTACTGGCGCCAAGGTCCGAATGTGCACGGAATATGCCGAAAACAGACTCCAAGTCAGGCTCCATCGCTGCGCGCACGTGTGCTCGACAGTTTGTCTTCGTGGGCGCCATGCACCGTATGCGCTCCCACCATTGCCGCGTGGCGCGGTTAGCTTTGCCGACGCGCGTCCCTACCCCATGACCGCACGCACGCCACATGCCCTACTCCTCCTTAACCGAGCGCCAGAGCTGCCCCGTTCCTTCTCGCTCTCTCGCTCGCACTCTGGCCGCACCAGAGCGGAGCCGCCATGGCCGCCGCCGCCGAGCTCCCGTGCCACTGCTGCTCCCTCTCCTACAGCCCTCCTGCGCCTGCACCGAGTGTCGCTACGCATCCGTCGCATCACGACGCCCCTCCTGCGCCCCTTTTTCGGTCACCGCGGTCGCCGGAGCACCGTCGCCGCCAGTTCCAGCGGGCTCGAGCCACTGGCTTCTGTGGCCGGCCGTCTATGGGCCCTCTCCATCGGTGTTGTGCCCCTCTGCGGGTTAGCGCAGGCCCCCTTTGGCCGTGGCACCGCCGCTCGCCGCCGGGGAGGAGCCCCACCGGCTAGAGTCGCCGTTCCCGGCCATCCTCTGCTCTGGTTTCCGACCAGGGACGTCGCGCAAGAATTCGAGTAAAGGGGAGGGCCTAAGTGCATAACCACTGACTCATATGAATAGTGCCATTGAGGACCTATTTGTAGTAAATTTGCTGAATCTTTGGAAATTCATAGTAATTCATAGGAAATCCGTAAAATAGCAAATGAGGACTTTTTGGAATCCTTGTGAAATTCTCTATGCATTAGATCTATAATATGGCATGTTTTAGTTTAAATATTTTGCGGTAAAAATAGATTTGTGCAGTAAGGTTGTAATGCTAGTTGAATTTGTTATTTTCCATAACTGCAGATCTAGGGCTCCAAATGAAGTGAATTTTTTGTGGCATGCTACTCATGTGATGTTTGATGTGTGGTAAAAATTTCATGGTCATTGGTTGCTGCATGAGTGAGTTATTGGTTTATCTTGCTCTCACATGATTTCTTGCTTTATCAACTTGTCCTTTTCATAGAGGTTGCTATACATATCCAAATGGAGTAAAATTTGTACATTAGACTATTGAGAGTATATGTGAGCTACTGTAATTTTTGTAGAAGTTATTGTGCACTTTTGGTATATGTTCATTAAGTCACCTTGTTATCTAAAATAAATTAAGAAATGCATTAAAAGAATTTATTTGGTCATGTACACTAGGTTTTCTGGTGTTCTTTAGTCATGTGTGACATTTTGGTAAAGTTGGTTTTGCCCAATTATGTGTTTGCAACATAAGTTAATATTTATTTTCTTGCAAATGTGCTTTATGGACAGATTTAGGAACTTAGCAAAGTTATTCGTGATAATGTGCTTTGTTGTGAAACTTGTTTATACAAAAGTTGTAGATAATTCATGTATCTATCTTCTGTTAAAATTTGGTGGTATTTGGCCTTGTGGTTTGTGAGTTATGCCTATTTAAAGTTGGGTTCCAGAAATGACTGCTTCTGTCAATTGTGCACCAGTTTCTGTAAATGGGTATATTTGACTTAGTTAACTTGAGAATCATGCTAAAATGATTAAATATGAATTGTAGAAAATTTCATAAGATTTCCATAATGTCTTCTTGCAAGTCATTTGGATTTGTGTAACTCCAGTTATAGCTAAATCTTGTAGCTGCTGTTTGCATGTCCAGAAATTGGCAGATTCCAATTATAGTGTTTGCTTGTATATTGTTAAGTGTGACGTATGCTTTGAATGATGACTGAGTTAGAGCACCTGAGATCTTGGGAAACTTGTGTCATGCTTGGTGTTGTCGTCTCCTTTGCCATCTTAGCATGATAGATTGTGTGATGTTTAAGTTAAGCATCACGAAGTACTTAAGTGTGTTAGTGTAAACTATGCTTGTCTTGCTTGCTATTTTGTGATGCGTCTCATGGTACTATTCTTCATATTTATGCACTTTAATATTGCATCTCATCTAGGTACGCTAGATGCACCACGTGAAGGATGAGATGTTGGAGCCAAACCCGAAGACGGTGTTTGATGGATCTATCCCGAAGATGAAAGGACTAAGCGAGTGCTAGGATCTGAGATGTCACCATGACAGTGCAAGCTAACGAAACTGACTTGTGTCGGATCCCAGGCAAGCCCCGGAGCATTCTAAGTCTCCTACTTTATAAAAGCAATTCTTTCTATATATGAGTTATATATTGTTGCATTAAGTTGGAGGAGTTGATTGAAAACGTTGATGCATTTATTACTATCCTTGACTACCTTATTACCCTGTTAGGTCGGGATCGAATAACTGCTTAGCCTTGCTTAGACCGGTAGCGATTGGTGATATCCGGTCACCTACATTATAGGTGGTTACTGGAAGAATTTAGCTATGGAAAGAATGATATCCTAGAAGTAACCATGTGTGATGGATAATTGGAGACCGGACGGAAAAGTTGGAGGCAACCAGACAGGGTTCTGGGGTGCTGTTAGTTTCCGTCTGTGTCGATTAAGGACCGACCATTGTTGGGCCTCGAGTCATGTTGAACGCATGCCTTATATTTAGCTGGCCGAATAAAGCACCTTTCGACCGCGAAGCTGGGAGATTATTCGGGCCGAGTAGATTGCCCGCAGCGCACTATACCGGAGCAGGTGTGGTAGAACACGGGGGCGCGAAGATAAGACCAAAGAGCAGTCGGTCGGCCCCCGGGTACATGTGGTTCCTGGCAAACTCGAGATTCCTAGATAGTTGACTCGGTGACCGATACCTCACTTTAGCGGGTGAGTGAGGTTTGTGTAAGGAATAAATCACCAACTGGTTAGGAATCGATTCGAATCGCCATCGCTCCTAGATAGTGAGCACTTGACTCGAGTTACGACATCGTAGTAATTATTATGGAACAATGATGGTTATCTGGATGATATGGGATATGCTAAATCTAAGTTGGTAACTGGATGTTATTGGTTAATCAAGTGATTGCTATAGTATAGGTGCTTACCAAGATGGATAGGTCATATTAAAGATGATGCAAAGTACTTAAAATGGTTTCTTCATGATAGCTTATGCTTTTTGCAAATGAGTTAGCTAGCCCACTAAAGAAAGCCTTGCATAATCCTTGGTGTCGCTTTATTTTGGTTTAAGATGGGTAAGTCTGGCTGAGTACATTCGAGTACTCAGGGTTTATCCCACCTTGTTGCAGGTGATGTTCTCGACCTGTTGATGATGGTGGCTAACCGCCGGTGGGCTCGGTGATTCTATACTTACTTCTCATCTATATGCTTTTGTCTGAGGATGTCACTTATGCTAGCAATGTATTTGGAACTTATATTAATGTAATCATTTGAAAGCTATGTTGTTTTCTCTAATCGATTTTAAAACCCAAACTTGTACTATTATTTGTGAACCCAATTATAATATTATTTCTGCTGCAACTCTGCGTATGTGATGTGTATTTGCTTAATCACGCGATCTTGGTTGTGATGTTGATTTACCGAGGTCTTTCGGGACACTCAGCGGACTACCGGATTTATATAAGTGAAAGTAGGTGCGTGTCAACGTGTTAGCGGGGACAGCCGTACTTGATCTTGTATAAATTGGGCGGTTCTGTCACAGCTGGCATCAGAGCAAGATTAAGCATAATACTATCATGTA